GTATTACAGACTCGTAATATTCATAGTCGAAATTCTTTGTGTCTGTGTGTAAAGTATCGAAATTATAACTTATTTTCCAAACAATTCGAATTTATTTCAATTATTATTGCTATTCGACGACGATAATGATGTTGTTTTAATTTTATTGACTGAAGTTTGCCGTTTTTTGTAGAAAAATGATGTATGCATTTTCACTTATTTTGTTTTAATGACATTATACACACATGAGTTTTTACATATCTATGGTGCAATAATGGTACCTGCGTAAAAACCATATTATTCTTATTTGAAACCGGACTACTCGTCATTGTAATTCTTTGTTATTGGTAATTTTCTATTAATAATACATGGATGATGGAGTAAATTATCTATGTTCACATAATGTATATATGTATATATTTATTTGATGACACGTCTGGCTCAGCTTGTAGTGACCCTACTTCTTGTGCCAGCGGTCGCGGGTTCGAGTCCCGCTGGGGGCATTTATTTGTGTGATGAGCATGAATGTTTGTACTCCAGTCATGGGTGTTTATATTTATTTGTAATATGTATGTATTTAAAGTTATATATGTGTAGTGTATCAACTATCTGGTATCCATAACACAAGCCTCGTAGCTTACCATGGAACTAGATGGTGCTGTGTGTTAATGTCCCAACATATTTATATCATTATTACTATATTTATGTGTATACATTATGTGCCAATGTGACACGGTATTAGATTTAATAAAATAAATACTTTTTAACTTCAGAGTTTCAATTTGTCAACACAAAACCATATTAAGTATCTACCTACATAGTACTCTTTTTTTTGAATTCGATAAAAAATGTAATTTTAAAATTTACTTAAGACCTTAAATAATAAGTTTTTATATAGATACTCATTGATAAACTGAGTACTCGTATATAATATTGTAAATTATAAAGTATGTATGTTTGAATAACATTCATTTGTTAAAATATAGCTATTATTTTAATGTGAAGAAATAAAATGGTTGGCAATTTTATCGTAAAATATTTAACCATATCTTCATTTTGTACTAAATTAAATTAAAGTATAATATTAGAACACATGTGCGATATTAGAGCGAAGGGATACGATCAAATTAGGGGATCGAACGCAATATTTTTTCTCCCCTATGTAATTATTGGCTTTTTTTGCAAGAATCTCGAATTTCTGAGGTAAAATTGAGATAGGGGTGTTGTCAAATTGGATATATTTCATCTAGATGTGGCATTTATTTTGTAATTTAGATTAAGTATGTACTGTTGCAATTTAATAAAGTTAAACATTCGATTTTTATTATTAGGAAAATATTGATATACGTATATGAAACTAGTTTTATGGAATTAAAAACGCATCTTAACTACTGCACTGTTCATAATTCTTCATCTGAAATCATAATTTTTTTAACTTGCACTTCATTTTAAAAATGAAGTTGTAATTTTTAGTTTTCTTACTTTTGATACCCTTATAAATGTCTAAAGAAGTTGGTTGTCGATTTATTGGTTCATCCTTCGTTCACTCAACAAAATAGTAACGAATCGATGTTTTTTTTTCTATAGAGACGCTTTATGGGCTAGGGAGTGACATCAATTTTTATTATTCAGGCGTTTCGGGATAAAAGTAAATAAATCACACTTAAATTTAGAGTCTGAGCGAAGTAAGGACTACTTTAGAAGAGGTTACAAGTATAATATAAATTGTCATTTCTAGTTTTTCCCCATGCTTATACTAAGATTCTATTACCCGATACAAAAATATATTGATCGCACATTGAGGATCGCACACGCTTATGTGAGGGAGACATTGTATTATTATTACATGATTCTCCTGCGACTTAGAAATCAGACTCAGAAATCTTTATTGACAAGTGTCGTTCATCATTCAACCAATAATTTATTATTAAGTATTATCAAATTTTATTTTTATACTTATAAGTTAAAATAAGTGAGTAAATATTTACAAATTATTTATTATTTTTATCATAATCACGCCCTGTGAGAGAAATCAACTCTGACCAACAAATCATCAATCAACCAAGAGACTTTGGTTCCCCATACAAACTTTCATCCCCACTTTCACTCCCTTAAGGGATGATTTCCGGGATAAAAAGTATCCAATGTCCTTCCCAGGGTCTATCTTCATACTAAGTTTCATCTAAATCGGTTCAGTAGATCCAGAGATTACCCCATACAACCTCAAAACTCACAAATACCTCTTTTTAATATAGTATAGATTAGGCTAACTTATAATAAAGTCTATCGTGTATTTGATTGAGGATGTAACATTCGCGAAATTTGTTTCCAATCCCATTTACCAGATAACTATTGTACTGAACGCTGGCCAAACTATTATGTTCTACCTAAACATACCAATAATTTACATATAAAATCATTGGTTACAGCATAATAGCTGTTTTATTACTTTTAGTCATAGTAACTAGTTTCTTTATTGTATATAATATCATAAAATGTTTAATCTAGCTACTCTTTTAACATTTTCTTCCTATGAAAAACTTGCCTTATAAAAAATAGCCAAGTCTAAATACATTTAGTCGTTGTAAAAAATTGCGTGCACAAAAACTCTAACAAACAGGCAAAAATATTTATATTTAATATTATTTTAACATCTACAGACAGCGAATTGTTTTAATAGACCTATTATAGTTCCGGAAGAATAATTCATAATACTTACTTATATACTTATCCATATGAGGTGTATTGCTGCTGGAGCTGGATAAAAATCTTGCATAAAACTAGAAAAGGGAGTTAGTTGTAAGAAAAACTGTAATAAGACACTTCTACTTTAATGTATCAAAAAATAAAAGAAATCTTATTGAGACTTACAATTCTATTTCCAAATATCACTAATAAATTTAAAATATCAAAATTAAGTAACATTGAGAAATTTCTGTAAATCATTCATAATTAAGCTTGCACTAAATGTAATTAACGAATTTAATCAGTTTAATGTAATTATCTCCAACTCAAAGCCCATTCGATATTATATCACCACTGAAATGAACACTATAAATGCATAATATACAATATACATATAACATATATTCAACTAGCATTGCCCGCGGCTCCGCCCGCGTTCAGATGACCAAAAACCAAATTCTTAGGTTTTACATATCAATTTCTCTTACATTGCAATTTCTGTATTTTCTTCTTATCGCTATACCAAATTTCATCAAAATCCCTCCTGTGGTTTTTCTGTGATGTGGTAACAGACACACAGACAAAAATTCTAAACACTATAGATTCGGCCACTGTATCCATAATAATGTTTATTTCAATAAGATTTTCCAAAAAATATTTAATGTACAGATTATGCTTAGTTACAATTTTATTATATGTATAGATATAAAATTATGTGTTTGTAAAATACATTACAAATATTACTAAAATCTAACTGGAATTATAAAATGATGATGATATTAATATTATGCTTGTTTTTTTTGTTGTTTTGTCTTTCTTTTATGAACCAAGGGATAGACATGTTTCCGATACGTCAACAACAGTCAGTTTCAACAACTCAACATGAAGGAACATTCGTTTGAATGTAGCAAGATGTGTTTATTCGCATGTATCCAGTTTTAAGTAGTTTTCTTTGTATGTATGTACCAGTGGCGAAAAGTCCATACAAGACGTCTTACCTTAAAATGTATTTTGCTATAATTTTACATACATTTAAATTTTTTTATGTATAAAATATTCTTTTGGGTTATATATATATATATATATATATATATATATATATATATATATATATATATATATATATATATATTACAGCTTTATTTCTTTTTGCATTAATACGTATATAAAAATTGTATATCAATGTGTTTTTGTTTTTTTTTTGGAACGGCTTACTTCTGCTAAAATTACACCCTACGCCACTGGTATGTACTCTATACTAACACTACGACTACAATGTAGATAAACTTAAGCATTTATAGTATACATATATATATATGTATATTATAAATGCTTAAGTTTATGGAGGAATAATTGAGTATATGAGTCAAAAAGTCATTGGGTACATTTTTACTTCTTCTCGACGCAACGGCTCCTAGATAAACACATAATGACCGATTTCGACGTATACATAGTACCTATGCGAGCGAGACCGCAGGTAAAAACTATAGTAATTATAATTAATAAAACATCCAACAAAAAATAGGAACTCATTTATTTACATACTTTCAAATTTTATTTACAATGGAGCTCATTAACTTACCTAATGAAATGGCAACTTGAGCAAGACTACCTACTTATGTAAAAATATTATGCACGATATTATTTTATTACATTTAATCATTATAGTATAGACTAAGCATAATATGAAATATAGTAAAGAAAATGAGTAAAACTTGTAAATTTATAGAAAGAAAAATTACTATTAAAAAGCAATTTCCTACAAGATTAGAAATAAGATGAGGAAACTTAATGTAAAGAAAATTCTTCTTTGTTCTTGATGCTTTTAAAGACTATTATTGTTTGCGAAGTTGTTGCATTGCGGGCCCTAAGAAATATCGATTCAATTAAACCCAACATTTACTCTTTACAAAATTCATTACAATTTCAATCTGTTGCGCGTATGAAATACATGTGCGCTTAGAACGCTAAGGGAACTTTGCCCTAAACTGGCTTATGTTATAAACTTATAACTAAACACATGGAATGTGATATTCGTATCAAGCTAATATTATAATAAATGATGTAGAAAACAAGACTAAAAAAGCTATAGAGTGAAAGAGCCGAAAAGGTGAAGTCTTTGGACTAAATAATACACACAAAAATTAACTTTTTGTATCAAATACACTTTGCCATTTTCCAACTTCATGTTTTTTCAATTATCTTCTTACAATTAGAAAAAATTGTGACAGTAGATAGTATTATATCACAATGTAAGCCCTGCATTTGTTTAAAACTAAAAACTAATGCTGTTATAATAATCCGTAGTACTTTGGACGGAAAGTCAAGATGCGCTATAACTTCAAATCGTCTTCCTCCGACTCACTCTCGCTAGTGTTATTAAGAGCTTTATGAATTTCATCCTCAATTTCAACAGCACTTTGATATTTATCATCAACAGCTAACTTGTTATACGCTATCTTTATATTAGAATCGTAATTGTTACCACAACAATAAACACCCATTCGTTTTAGCACACAAACGACGAAAACATAAATAGAAATGATACTTATAATCAATAGTGCAATTATCAAAATCAAATTCATTTTGTAGTGCCAATTAGCGTTATTTATTTGTGGTAATATTGTGTTAGGGTAACAATAGGATTTGGGTTCCACATCGGTTAGATTGAAGAGTTGAGCATCGTTTAAGCATGAGGTGCATTGGCTACTGTTGGGACCCACACAGGTGGCACAAGTGTAATGGCACGGAAAACAAACTAAGGGTGTTTTAGAGTAATTAGATTCCATATCGAAAGCCTCGATCGCTGAAGGTCTAGTGACAACACCCTGTCGCTTAACGACCGAAGAGTCACCCACCTCATAAGTGAGATTACGTCTTCTAGAATTCGCTTGCATTATGATTTCGCCGGCGTAACTCCCACCTGGACAACGTTGGTAACATCGACCGTCGTACAAGTGCAAACCCTTGGCGCATTCTAGTGAAAGAGAACAAATATATATAAATACACGTGATAGAACTAGACAGTCCGACACCACCCAGCACCGTACCAGCGTCCATGCAGCGTTGAATGCGGAAGATCCATTCACGAGGCTCGAAGTCGCCGAAGTAAAGTAAAGATTATGAAAACAGGACTCGAAAGGGGATTTTAAGTAGAATCTCGTCACTGATCTCAGATAATTTTGTCTACGAATTTTATATAAAACAAACGGACGTTAACGCTAGTGCTGCATGCTCAAAAGACGTGTACAAAATTAAATGAAATCAGGAGAAATGTTAAACAATAAGTGAAATGAACAACAGGTAAATAGGAAAAAATTTTTTTAGTTAAATCAAAGCTTTGAGCGAGTGTTAAAGTTAAAAAAAAGCGAAGCGAAACATGCAATAAACAAAACATAACAGAAGCCTGTATTATATAACGTCAGTTTGAATTACACGGATATATAAATACGAATATGTCAAACTTAATAACTAATTGCCGCTTATTATAAAACATTGATCAGAGACAAGAATCTACAAAAATATAAATGAAAATCTAAATCAATTTTGTAATAAAAGATTTTTTATTATTACTTTCCATTCACATCGGTTCAATATATACAAATTATTCAGCATTTACATTAATAAATACACTTAACTGTTATCTACGTGAATGCCGATCGATGATTTACATACATACATACACCAAAACTGTTATAAAAATGAGCTTTACGATTTCTAACATCGAACGATAGTTACAATGATAGCTTTTCTTACTCGATCGTAAAGTAAACATACAGTAACTTACTCTATATTAATTTAGGTATTTACTTTACATAATTAAGTCTAACTACCAGTCGACGAAAAATCTTGAACGTTCAGTCGTTTTAAATTTACATGTATCTGAGCAATTTGTACAAGTCTCCAAATTTATTTATACCGATTACCTACTTATTTACAATCGTTTACATGTTTTATTTTATATGGATTGGCAATCACTTCTATGATCACAACCACAATATGCAATAAAATTTTATTCTAATTATTATTATTATTATGTTATTTATTCACAGGGCACTACTGTATTATGACCGCGGCATTATCTGAGTGACAGCTGTTAAATAATGAGCGAATGAGTGCGAGCCATAGAGTATTTACTTTATTTAAAAAAAACAATTTAAGGTAATATATATATATATATATGGCTTCTATACTGAATATTTAAAATGTAATCGCGCAGTAATACAAGATTCCAATTTAATTCCGCACGTTATATTAAAGGAACGCTATTTGATTTCGTTCTTATGATCCCGTCTCAGGTATAAACCTATATTGCGATTTCCTTTAAGAGCGAGTTTCTAGCGAATACTAAAACCTTTAAGTTGCATATAGTACCTATACAGCTATATTTTGAATGGAAAATATATTTTACAAAGTTCATTCATATTTAATAACATTTTCTATTTACTAAAGTGAGTTTCTTACAATTCAGCCCTTCTATACATGTAATTTGAAGTTGATCGAATTAACCTTGGCTTGGTTATTAAAACGCTTTTATTATACCAGTAGGCCAAGAGTTTGCGGTCGTCGAGTTCATAATTAAAGGCTTTCAGATTTTGCATTTATATATTTTCAACATTTCTAACATTTTTTCGGTAATATGTTACTCTATATATGTACATTAAAAATAAACTTTTCGTATTACTGCAATTTTTGATTGCAAAATAAAACTTAATTTGGCGTAAGTTAATAAAGTTACACAATTCTAAGTATTTGGGCAAGTGGGACGAAAGCCATACTTATCTCAAAATCCTACAGAATCGTATTTTAAACCTCCTGCCGTTAAAGTCTATGGAACGGGCTCATGGCTGTCACAAAGATAATGCCGCTATAAATACACTTAAGAGGTTAGAAGGCAAAATTTATCGTTTTCCAAACTTATTGTACAGGATATGTCCGTTTTTATATAACGTAATGGCGAATTTTCAATGTTACGACACGATTGTAGACGCAAATTAGATTATTTAAAAATAAGAAAATGTCGCCAAAACTCTTAATAAATATTCTATAACAAACTACACTAAACAATTATATTTCTATCTATTACTTTTAATAAATAATATTATAGGAAACACGACAAATTAAATGCATAACATTTGGTATCGTGTTCAAATAGGCTGCCGATATTTGGTTGACGACAAACAATAAATATTTATTTCATTATTATTCATGTAACAACGTAACAATTGTAAAATGATTTCTATTGCAACACTTAGAGGGGTTCAGGTAAATTCATTGATTTACTAAGCTTGTATACTTAGACCATCAGTACGTTTACATTTTTAACCGACTTCAAAAAACGAGGAGGTTATCAACGAACATACACTCGGTATGTTTTTGTATATATAACGCCATTATAATGATTAAAGATTCCATTTTTTTAAGAAATAGGTTTTACCCGAAGGGTGGTCCCATATAAGTTTTACTTAAAAGTAATTTTGAAGTCGGTCTAATTTTTCAGTTAGAATTTTTATATCATCATATTAAATTAGCCCCAATTATTGCTATATCTTGAGATCAATCTCAAGATAACAGAATAAGGTTTTGAATAGTACCTTTTTATTAATGTGAAAATATAAAACTAGTTTCTTCATTTATAAATGTAAACAAGACAATGGAACTTAATTCAGTTCGGAAGACTTTCAAGTGGAAGCTAAAATTATTCATGTTTTTGAATGTACAGAATTTCGCCTTTCAAGTTTTTGGCACTTCACTTACAATTAAACATTTTAAGTCTCAATTTGGTTGAATTAAATGACCGTACGATGGTGAAATCAAAATATAATTATAACAACTATATATGTACCTGCAAACCTTACAATTAAGTACCGCAGGCATGTTCTAACTAGCATTATTAATTCTATGATTTACACACTAACATGTCCATTTTAATTGATTATTAAGTTTCATTCAATGCAATCACCCGAGCAAAATGGACGTCATCAATTTTAAATACACAATATTAATGTATGTAATTGCACTTGTTCTTTAGCTCTTTAATTTTGCCGAATAATGTCATATTATAAATACCTATGAGTTTATTGGACATTTTAAATATTAACATACAACTTTTATATCGCAGTCATTTTGAAACGCTGTTATAAGTGATTAAATATGAACAGGATTGAACACCTTTATATATTGTAATATCAGCCCTTTTTAACGTCCCACTGCTGGGGGTGGGCCTCCCTTCAGTACGAGGGGAATCAGGCCATAGTCCACCACGCTGGTCAAGTGCGGGTTGGCGGACTTCACATGTCTTTTGAAAACTTGCTAAGTTCTCTCAAACATGCAAGTTTCCGCACGATGTTTTCCTTCACCGTTGTATATATTGTTATTTTTCTCAAATAACTGCGATTTAAAAGGAACGCTACTATTTTAAGTAGTAATTATTATTTATCTCTAAACATGTTAAAAAAATTATATAGAATTGGACTATGATGAACATCTGAAAATAAACTATACCTATATGTTTCAACTAATGTAAATGCATTGGCAGTATCCAATTGATTAAAATTAAACGCTGCGATCGGACATTTAGAAATAGAAATAAAACATTATTATATAACAACTTGTACTTATGTATATGAATTCAACTAAATCACAAGTATCGGGTACTGCGGCAGCAGAATCGGGTAGTGGTGTGGCAACAAGTAGCTTAGGGTTGCTATATCCAAAAAAATATTCACAATACATGTTCTATTAAATCATTTAAATAAATAAAAAATATAAGCGTTAAAAGGTATATATTGTATATATTATTAATTAATATTATGCGAGCATTTTATTAAAAATGATTAAAAAATGGTATTGAGAATATTTTCTATGTTGACAACCCTATCCACTGAACGGAGTGATTTTTATACTAGCAGTTAGTGCAATTATCAGCATAACATAACTGTCACTAATTATAAAGGAATAAGAGGAAAGACAGAGCGAAGTAATAATACAAACAGAATATTTTAACGTTCAAACATCAAAAACGATTTAAACATCGTTATAGTGGAAAATATTACTTGCTTGTTTCAAAGTTAGCACAATGATATAAGAGAAATAAAATTCTAAGGCCATATAAATATTATAGACAGTCCTTTGTGATAGTTTCATAGCTTTAAAATTCATAACATTATACAATTTCAAAGAGGAAAGCATCATAAGGACTGTACTGTGTAGAGTACAATCTTCATAATGTACTGCAACTTAAGCCACAGTCGAAAGTTGGTTTGTTTGAAGGAGTTAACTTTATGTAGCATGTTGTTGTTTATTAATGGCCTTATGAAAGTTTGTATTTTACTTCAATACTGTCTTTTGTAGCTTTACTTCAATATGGTTTTAAAGGGAATGGAGAATAAAGGCACAAACGTAGACAGGTTGGCTGGGTTCACATATTGGCTCCAATGATTTGGTTTAACCATAAATTAAAAATACATATTATTTATTATTACCTTTTTAAATTATAACATATTATGTCTATTAAATTAAGTACACCAATATTGGTGCAAACGTTGGCCTCAAATCTATACAATTGGAGCCAATACGTTCAAAATAACATATCATTAGCAAAATGTACTTATAAGAAACAGTATGAATGCAACTATAATCGCGAGCTCAAGTACTAAGGTTCCAGCACCGGGTAGGAGAGGAGGTACGCAAGCACGGCGCCCGCGGCGGCCTCACGCTTGGCTTCGATTTACTATTTATTACTATACTTCTATACGTTATACTAGATGTTAGTGCGTTTTGTTTTCTACAATGTATGTGGGTAGGGATTGATAGGAGGATAAGGAGTAATAGGCACAAACCTAGGCAGTGGTGAGGTGCCTGTGTTGCGTGTGTGGCGCAACCGCTGGCGGCATACCCTGGTTCTACGGCTGGTCCTTCTTCACGTATCTGAGGAAAGAGGTTTTATAGTAAAAAAAATACTGTTATGTGGTTAAATATTGATTTTGATTTATTATATTAAAATATAATAAATAGAATAGAGGTTTTGTGACACAAATATACAAAATAATTTAATACTCTTTGAATATTAAGTACCTGGGCGACCGAGCTTCGCTCGGAGTTTTTGGCCAAGAGTATAATTTTCTTTTCTTTTTTTAAGAACTAAAAACTTGAATAAATACAAAAAAAAAAGTAAAAACTTTGTATATGACTGGGATTCGAACCCGGACACTATGGTAAACACCCTTGCCCGCTTGACCACGATGCTTTTGCCCGAGCATACGAAATCAGCGACCATATTTTGCATGCGTAAGAAAACCGCATGAAAAACTCAAAAATACGCGTTTTCCCAGACATAAGACTAATCTAGATCGATATATCGCCCCCGAAACCCCCTGGGCGCTAAATTTCATGAAAATCGTTGGAGCCGTTTCCGAGATTCAGATTATATATATTTGTTAAGCCGCGGTAAGAGTTAATCTATTCGAAAAATTACATAGAAAATAACATGATATAAGTATAACATATATGTATGTATGTATGTTGAAAGTATATTGAACGTTAATAAACGTAAATAAAATTAATACTAAATGCATTAATTTAATGTTATTCGTTATTATATAAACTTTACTTTTCATTATAACAATATATTACATAAACATAAATTAACTAATAAAATATTTATTTCTACTGAATTGATTAATAGAATTTTAATCCATACAATTTTCAAGTACGAGTATATTAGAATACGCCAACATTTCATAAATTATATATCACAAATATTAATAATTACACATATTATTATAACCTCATACCGCAATCGCATGATTTTCCACAGCTCTTCAGCACAAACGAAATATCTATGCCAAAATGGAAAAATTATTACCACTGGCTGTTTGTAGACCTTATTTTATTTATAAACTAGCATTGCCCGCGGCTCCACCCGCGTTCAGATGACCAAAAACCAAATTCTTAGGTTTTACATATTAGTATACTCTTAAGTTTTTTTTTCTCAGAAATGAGATATTTTCCTTCGGTAAAAAGTATCCTATATGTTGACCTGAATAACAGACAGACAGACAAAAATTCTAAAAACTATAGATTCGGCCTCTGTATGGATAATAATGTTTATTTCAATAAGATTTTCTGAAAAATATTTAATGTACAGATTCGGCTTAGTTACAATTTTATTATATGTATAGATTTTAAATATAAAAACTAATGTTAAACAGTCTAGAAATGTATTTTTTGTTGTCGAAAGTATTATTATTATCTAAAAACTAAATATATTAAAACAACTAAACGTAATAAACTTTCAAGCGACATTGAAATTCAATAAAAAAATTCTAAAGTTTTAACTTTGGCCTATTCAAGTAGCATTATAGTATTTCTTCCTTCACAATACAAGTGTTGAGACTTTCAAAGTATCGGATATCAAGTTATCGATGTGACCAAGTCAGTACTTAACTTTTGATAAGTCTCTAACAGTACAGTGTATCGGATAGCGAAAGATAAATCGTCAATAGACGCCATTATTATATCGTATACACTATCTATATCAATTTTTGTATCGACTATAATATAGCCGTCTATGTATAAAAAGCACTAGCGATTCACCCTCGCTTCGCTCGGATTCGTCCCTAGTAAAAATTTTGGTTTGTTTGTATTTTTAATTCCGAATCATAAAAAAATTAAAATTAAAATTGTCCAAAAAATAAAATAAAATTTGGGGTGGACCACCCTTATCACGTAGGGGTATGAAGAATAGTTTACGTTCTATACTCAGACCTACTAAATATACACACAAAATTTCATAAGAATCGGTCAAGCCGTTTCGGAGGAGTTTTGTTACAAACACTGTGACACGAGAATTTTATATATTAGATATATATACATATGTAGTATATATGGTGAGTTGTTGTAGGTTGTATTATAACCTGTTTTCTCGTAAGGAGGAGACAATCTCCTGCGGTAGCCTATCTAGCGTAAAAAGTAGCCTATGTCTCTCTCCAGCCCTCCAACTATCTCCACACAAAAAATCACGCCAATCCGTCACTCTATTTCGACGTCAAAGAAGGACAAACAAACACACAAACAAACAAATGCACATTCACATTATACTTTCTTAGATTTACGCGAATGTTTGACATTATTAAATAAAACTATCTTTTCGGATTATTTCGCGGATTTATTTTGATTTTTGGTTCCCGACGTTTCGAATGCTTTACAACATCCATGGTCACGGGAGAGACTGAGGTGTTACATGTCTTAAAGATATAGTTGTTACAGACAGCCTACCCACAATCAACAAAATGAAAATTGCACCAATTACATTACAATATTTTAACTTTAAACATTTTTATAATTTTAATTATAATTGAATATGGAAAATTATTTATTTAATTTTTGCTATTATTTTTATAATTATTACAATTTTAAAAATATTAATTAGTAATCTATATTTAGTGTTGCCATTATTATATTTATAACCATAAAGAAAAATATAAAATATAGTATTAATTATTTAAGCCATATAATTGTTCAATGTGTAATTTAAAAAGTTAAAATTAATTAAGGATTATAATTTTAATTTAGATTGCTATTATTTAAAAACAACTTACTAAGCAACACTATTAATATATACTTTTACAAATGAAAAATGAAAAATATCAATCTGATAAGCTGTCATTTGATCTACACAGTATGAACTTACTACATCTGCCTGTCTGTTATGTTTATATTTATTATTTGATTTTATTATATTAATAACAGGATCCCATGACGATGGTAGTACCCAGCCATCTTCCCTATTGAAATTTGGATGTTTTTTAATTTCTATGGCTTCTCGAATCATTCTAGGGCGATATCGGTTTTCTTTCGCCAAGATTTGAGGTCTATCGAAACGAATATAATGGCTTGGGCGGTCCTGGCTATGTTTGCAGACAGCAGATGTTGTATTGCGACGGTGCTTCACATCAGCTATGTGTTCTTTGACCCGGGTTCTAATGGATCGCTTTGTTTGTCCAATGTAAGAGAGCCCACAATCACAATCAAGCTTGTAAACTCCTGCATCTTGTAGAGGGATGTGGCACTTGACAGGTGGTAAGAACTGACTAATTTTCTTTGGCGGCTTGAAGTAAGTTTTAATTGAAGCTCGCTTTAGAATGTAGCCAATCTTGTCAGTGACTCCTTTCATGTATGGCAAGACTGCAGGGACGCGCTCGACTGTGGCTGGTTTTACTCGGTCACTGTGACGCAGGCGCGGCACTTGCAGCTTGTTGTCACGCAGAACTTGCTTGACATGTTGCAGTTCTCCGGCCAGGTGTTGCTCGTCACAGATCCCGCGCGCTCTCTGAAACAAAGATTTTCCCACGGTAGCTAACTGTGAAGGATGGTGGTGAGATTCACCGTTCAGGTACCTATCAGTATGGGTCTTCTTTCTATACACAGTATGACTCAAGGTGTTATCTGTGTTACGTTTAACTAATACATCTAGGAAAGCTAAGGTATTGTCTGATTCTAATTCCATTGTAAATTGTATTTTAGGATTTATAGAATTAAGGTGTTCTAAGAATACAGTTATTTTATCAGATGGTAATATTGTGAAAGTGTCATCTACATACCGCTTGTAGAAACGAGGGGTCACGGGTGATGTGTTCAGAGCAGTCTCCTCGAAGTCCTCCATGAAGATGTCGGCTACAACGGGGGAGACTGGCGAACCCATGGCCACTCCATCCACTTGCCTATAGAATTCACCATTCCACAGTAGATAGCCAGATGTTAGGCAGTGTTTTAAAAGTTCACACATTCACAGGGACATTGAACAGACGTCTAATATTGTTAAGACAGTATTGACACCATCTGATTTCAACGATTGCATTGACACTTTAAATAAGCGTGAAACAACCAAATATAATCAGTGCAAAATTAAACATATTTTAAAATATCAAAAACTCGTTGAAAAATTAAACATCAAAAAGAAAAAGAAAACCATAGAGTGTAACGGAACGCGCCCGTCTACCACAGATACACACTCGTGCGGACCTCAAGCTGTTGTCAATCTGTCAAAACAAACGTTGGACGAACCTACTATTCGGGTACTAAATAAAGGTTTGAATTTTGCTGTAACGCCTACGCGCATTCCTTATGAAAACATTATTTGCGCAGTTGAAGATGCCCTGGCCCAAAACATTATGAAAACTGAGGATATGGAGGCCATACGTCAAGATGTTTCGTCTTTATTACGTCGTAGTACTAGGCCCAAACCAAACCTCAATAAACAAGAGTATTTAGCGTTGAAGAACCTACGCAATAGGTCAGACATCACCGTTCTACGCGCAGACAAAGGAAATGCAACCGTTGTGATGGATACATCAGATTATAATGATAAAATAAAACAACTTTTGTCGGACGAGAGCACGTACAAAAAGGTTTAAAACGGATCCAACTACCACCGTTTTAAATAATACTAAAAAGCTAATTAAGGAACACTCCGACACATTAAATCTTGATGTTAAAAATCTTATTCCATCATGTGCAAAACCACCTAAGTTGTATGGACTTCCGAAAATACACAAGACTAACGCTCCGCTACGTCCAATTGTGAGTCAGATCGACTCACCGACTTACAAATTGGCTAAACTAGTAGCAAAAGTACTCTCACCACTCAGAGGATTAACAAGAGCGTTCACAAAGGACTCTTACCATTTTGTCAATGAAGTTAAACACCTAAAACTCATGGACAATGAAATAATGGTTAGTTTCGATGTACAGTCTTTATTTACCAGCCTACCAGTGGAAGACTGTATTGAAATAATATCTAGGAAGCTACTAGATCACAACATGTCAATAGAATACATTGAACTTTTAAAACACTGCCTAACATCTGGCTATCTACTGTGGAATGGTGAATTCTATAGGCAAGTGGATGGAGTGGCCATGGGTTCGCCAGTCTCCCCCGTTGTAGCCGACATCTTCATGGAGGACTTCGAGGAGACTGCTCTGAACACATCACCCGTGACCCCTCGTTTCTACAAGCGGTATGTAGATGACACTTTCACAATATTACCATCTGATAAAATAACTGTATTCTTAGAACACCTTAATTCTATAAATCCTAAAATACAATTTACAATGGAATTAGAATCAGACAATACCTTAGCTTTCCTAGATGTATTAGTTAAACGTAACACAGATAACACCTTGAGTCATACTGTGTATAGAAAGAAGACCCATACTGATAGGTACCTGAACGGTGAATCTCACCACCATCCTTCACAGTTAGCTACCGTGGGAAAATCTTTGTTTCAGAGAGCGCGCGGGATCTGTGACGAGCAACACCTGGCCGGAGAACTGCAACATGTCAAGCAAGTTCTGCGTGACAACAAGCTGCAAGTGCCGCGCCTGCGTCACAGTGACCGAGTAAAACCAGCCACAGTCGAGCGCGTCCCTGCAGTCTTGCCATACATGAAAGGAGTCACTGACAAGATTGGCTACATTCTAAAGCGAGCTTCAATTAAAACTTACTTCAAGCCGCCAAAGAAAATTAGTCAGTTCTTACCACCTGTCAAGTGCCACATCCCTCTACAAGATGCAGGAGTTTACAAGCTTGATTGTGATTGTGGGCTCTCTTACATTGGACAAACAAAGCGATCCATTAGAACCCGGGTCAAAGAACACATAGCTGATGTGAAGCACCGTCGCAATACAACATCTGCTGTCTGCAAACATAGCCAGGACCGCCCAAGCCATTATATTCGTTTCGATAGACCTCAAATCTTGGCGAAAGAAAACCGATATCGCCCTAGAATGATTCGAGAAGCCATAGAAATTAAAAAACATCCAAATTTCAATAGGGAAGATGGCTGGGTACTACCATCGTCATGGGATCCTGTTATTAATATAATAAAATCAAATAATAAATATAAACATAACAGACAGGCAGATGTAGTAAGTTCATACTGTGTAGATCAAAATGACAGCTTATCAGATTGATATTTTTCATTTTAAATTTGTAAAAGTATATATTAATAGTGTTGCTTAGTAAGTTGTTTTTAAATAATAGCAAACTAAATTAAAATTATAATCCTTAATTAATTTTAACTTTTTAAATTACACATTGAACAATTATATGGCTTAAATAATTAATACTATATTTTATATTTTTCTTTATGGTTATAAATATAATAATGGCAACACTAAATATAGATTACTAATTAATATTTTTAAAATTGTAATAATTATAAAAATAATAGCAAAAATTAAATAAATAATTTTCCATATTCAATTATAATTAAAATTATAAAAATGTTTAAAGTTAAAATATTGTAATGTAATTGGTGCAATTTTCATTTTGTTGATTGTGGGTAGGCTGTCTGTAACAACTATATCTTTAAGTCATGTAACACCTCAGTCTCTCCCGTGACCATGGATGCTGTAAAGCATTCGAAACGTCGGGAACCAAAAATCAAAATAAATCCGCGAAATAATCCGAAAAGATAGTTTTATTTAATAACACATTCACATTTATAATATTAGTATGGAAGTATGAATTTACGTTACTGATAAGTAAAATAGACATGATGATATCATAGTGAATCTAATCTCCATAAATGAAGTTATTACAAATAACCTTTTAAAAGCGATATAAACAAATCCCATTATATTTCAACATAATTGACTTTCAAATTTACATTAAAAGATTAAACTGATACGATTCAATGCATAAAATTATTAAAAGTGTTTATTTTACCTGCGAATAACACAAATACAGCCATATCGTGTGTACTTCGTATACATACATATGTATACTAACGGACCCGACAGACGTTGTCCTGTCTACACGTCTTTAATTTGAAAATTTCAAACTTTTTTTAATAATTTTTTTGATGAAAATTATTATTCAAATTGTGAATCTAAACCATTCCCAGATCCCCTTGAACACACACAAAAAAATTCATCAAAATCGGTCCAGTCGTTTGAGAGAATTTCAGTGATATATATATATATATATATATATATATATATATATATATATACTATAGTACTGCGTAGAATAAAATTGTATATTTTTTTAAATATATTAGGTGTTAAATGAAGTCAAATAAATGGTTTATAAAATTTTTGTCAGTCTGTCTGTTTGAAGGATATTAAATGAATATGAATTTAACTTTTAGTGAACAAATAATATTTACTAAATTTTGTTATATTAAAACTTTGCATAAAATAAATGTTAGAGTTCCGATGTAGGAGGTCCATCCGATATTAGTGAATAGATTGTGAAAATTTTTGTACTAACAGAATTTTTTATTCTTAAATTACGTTGGATATTTTTTATCTCGTATATCAACTGTTCTTTTAAGCATCTAAGCTATTAATAACCATACAAAATCATAGGTTGGGAAGTATAATGCATTAAGGACTCGATAACAACGGACAGCTTATTTGTTTAATTGAAAGCACGAATGAATTGATATACTGTTTTGATTTTATCTTATTTACTAGCGGCTTATCCTCATCCTCATTCGTCGCTAGGTACGTTTTAAATATATATAATAATATATAGTTATTAGCCAGCGTTAGCCATATAAATTTTCATATGGTTGTTAAGTATTCTTAAATAAGTATTCTTAAATTTTATAATTTTCCGCGCAATTTTTTAATTTTTTTCTTTCATAAGAACCTTCTCCTGACAATAACAAACACAACAAAAAAAAATTGTTAAATCGGTCCAGCCGTTCACGCGTGATGGCGTGACCAAGGGAAATAGGGATTTATATATATATATAGATTCTTTGATTCTCCCATACATTTTGTATGACTACTGACGAATTCACTTATTTGCTAACTCAATTGATCAACTTTATATTGATTTCAAAGCAACAAGAAATCGATTTACAAGTATATTTTAAATATATTATACAATTTTTAAAATATACTTTTGGATAAAATAAAGTAAAAATAAGTATGTAATAGTAAAACTAAAGAAAGTGTGTCTTGATATTATTGGGTAATGATATCTACAATTCAATTGTCTCAGTTCCAAAAAGTCGCTAAATGAAAATCAAGTAATCATGTTATCCATACTAATATTATAAATGTGAAAGTTTTTGGGGATAGATGGATCGATTGTGTTACTCTATCACGGCTGAACGTATCTGGATGAAATTTGGCACATAGATAGATTATAGTCTTGATTAGCACAAATGATATTTTTTATCCCAAAAAAAATGTACGGTTCCCGTGGGATAGAGCTGGGTTTTGTACAGGGACAAACCTGAAGCGAAGCGAGGGTGCTAAAACTATACGATACTGCTAAAACATACAAACTGACTTAAGCATAAATAAACGCAAAATATATGAGTATATGTGTAGAAAGAAGCTCTAGAATATAATATCGGAATATCACTTACCGCGTGTGAATCATGCCACACTAGGGCTAGATCATCATCTATGGTGTTTTGTTTCACTTCCTCACTATCGGGCACGTTCGCATTCCATAGCGTAACGCCATGCCCTACGGGATTGCTCTCTGGTGACACTTCGTACTCCTGAGCCGGGGTCTCTGTTCCGTAGAATATCAACTCCCACTGCGTTAATGGTCCCGCTATAAACAAACCGTTTCAATGAGATCTGATGTTAAATTATACTTAAATTTGTTGTTATGCCAAATTTTAATGAATATATGTGTTTTGTTATTTGACGTGAAAAAAAAAAATCTGAGCTATCTTTTCACTTCCGTAATTAAAATGAACGGTGGTATACGATTTCAAAGCGTTTTTGTCTACTATAAAAATATAAGGCCACAGAAATTGTATTGAAGTCTTGTACAGTACGTCGTGACAGTGTGGAGAATCATTAAAAAGATTAAAAGATTACAGACACAAAAGCGCAATAATTGGGTCTCTAAATTATATCTAACCTACTTGGAGTTACTATTAAAATTTATACATGGACATATACAATTAAAGCTTTCAATTCAAGCAGCTTTGTTATTTTGAAGTTTGGGAAATTGTGTTATTTTAATAGTAAGCCCAGTAAAAAAAACGACAAATATCAAAAAAATTAAAAATCCACATAAAACATCTGTCTACAGCATCTATAATAAATAAAACATAAAACAAAAATTATTCCAGCGTTTCTAGAAAATTAATAAACGCAAACACACATGCAAAGGTCAGTCATAGTCTGGAACAAGGACGTGCAAGCTCAAACTAGGCTCTCAAACGTATCGACGAACATGCAAGCAAGTACCGTTGGCTTGTAGGGGCGCTGGGTATATTCTCTGGATTTTCGGATACTGCTCGAACAAACTCGACATCTTACGCCCTCTAGCGTCTGATAAGGGATCCGTCAAATCTCCTTGCAAATTCAAACTTAAATCTGGCACGGCTGAGGTAACTCGCAATGTGGTGCTTTCTACGGGCGAACGTGTCGCCGGTCGACCCTGTTTTTTCTGCGAATTTCTATTAGGATTCTTGGAATTTTTATTCTTTTTCCTTTTCACTAAACCCACAGTGTACTGAGTGGGGACGATGTGCACGGATTTCCCGCGGCTGCTTTTCCGTCCGGCCTGAACGACTACTGGCCGCGTTGCGTTACTTCTATTTCTTATTATTGGATTTCTAAATGGTATCGGATCATTTTTAGCAGCCGGCGTGCTTGTTCCGTATAAAGTCAACGACCAATCTTGTAATGTCGCTCGACCTAATTCGAAAGTGAGTAGTTGTAAATCCCTTGTGTATCGATAAATACAAGTAAAGTTTTAAAAGTCACTCCGTTCCGATTTATAGATTCTTTCTAGACTTTAATATTAGTAAAGATTGGAATCTCTCGTGACTAAGCTAAGTTTTCTTGTTAAAGAAAATGTTATTGAGATTTATCTGCCTTTTCAGTCTTAGTTAAAAAAAGTTACTAAGTAACTCATATTAAACCTTAGTAAATCAAATACGGTTGAATCTTTGAATTTCATTGTAACTTTTATAAACCAAATGAAAAATAATTTTATCAAGAAAATAAAAACACTAAGTTTACTCCACTGTGTTTACATTCCAGAAAGTGAAAAGGAGTACTTTTTACAAGATGTCTTCTTAATTTTTTATGTATTCTAAAAAATATGTCGCTGTTACTTGAATAAATTAATTTATTATTACTAACACAATTTATGAAGTTAAAATATGTGAAAATTTACTAGAGTTCTTATATAAATAGATTTAAATAAAAAAAGATAAATATTTAAAATACAATTTTAAATTACATTATATTTCAAAAACCTTTTAAATCTTTTATTCATAGTTGACTCTTATGAAACTAAGAATTTCTATACGCTTTGTAAATCAATGGAGCTGCACATTTTATCGCTTGCATCAGAAAAGCTGAAGTATGCTCGATGACGGTCAACACTCTTTAAGCGTGTAAAGTTTATTTTCATGAGAATGTGTGATAAAAACCGTTATTGTTACAACATATCATAAGTCTTTAAGTAATACAATATTTATATATAGTGTTTTAACACATATTTAGTCACTGATAAATAGATAACTATACTTAAAAGTTATAAGGCATTTATCATTTATTAGGAGGCATTATTTAGTATGCCGTAACCAATATATTATAATTGAATAATAATATAATACATGATATTTATTTACACGTATTTATAAACGAAACTCACCCAAATATCTTCCTTCATTAGAGACCTCGAGTTGCCACACTCCGAGTGGGGATTCCCCCCACATATGCACGGACATAAAGGGCCACGAATTGAAGCCAGCGCGGGAAGAATCGTGTGGCCTGTTGAAAAATCATAATTAGTCTTTATAAATTTCAACAACATTTACAGTTTTAACGCTAAACATTTTTTATTTAGGCAATAGAAATAGCAATATAATCATATATTTTTTACCATTACATACCACATTTATACATACACGTTTGGCTCAGTTTGTAGTGATCATACTTGCTGTGCCAGCGGTCGCGGGTTCGTGTCCCACTGGGGGCATTCATTTGTGTGATGAGCACGAATTTTTGCACTCCAGTCATGGGTGTTTATATTTATAATATTGTATGTATTTAAAGTTATATATGTGTAGTGTATCAACTATCTGGTGTCCAGAACACAAGCCTCGTAGCTTACCACGGAACAAGATGGTGCTGTGTTAATGTCCCAACATACAGTGGATAAATTCATCCTGCCCGAATTTCAGTCAAGGTCACTCTCTGACACTAGCGCACTAGAAATATTATAGCAAAAGTGAACACGCTAATGTAAGTGCAGTCTCTCTTCCTCTTACCTATATAGCGCGCTTACTTGACCTAGAATTTAACTTTAGAATTGGAAGCCATTAGCTAGCCTTTGAAATCTATTTAGATCAATTCAAAAACATTTATACCATTATAAACGCAAAAACTTGAGAGTGAATGTGGGTGTTTGATGCAAATGTGTGTGTGTGTGTGTGTGTGTATTTGGACCTTCGTTATGTCCCACTGCTGGGCACGGGCATCCTTTCAAGCGAGGGGGATCAGATCATAGTCCACCACGCTGGCCAAGTGCGGGTTGGCGGACTTCACATGTCTTTCGAAAACTTGCTAGGTTCTCTTTGACATGCAGGTTTCCTCACGACGTTTTCCTTCACCGTAAGGTAATCATGTTAGAAACGAATCGCACATTAAAAAATCAGAGGTGCGAGACCCATGTTTCACTCGGTTTCTCAAGCGAGCGCGTTACGAATGGCCTACCACTACCTTTTGCAAATGATGCAAATGTAAATACGATATTATTACCCTCAAACAATAATAGAAGAATTCCCTATTTTAATTTATACTTAAGTAAATATGCAATAAGTGAAGGAAATATGAAAATTCCCAGCTGAATTCCTAGTTGAGCTTCGATTCAGTTCGAAAATGTTATTGTTTTTTTTCCAAGGCAAGTCTCAGCGCCGACTCGAGGTTTGGAAGTTTGGTGTTAGTTATATCCGGGTACCTTGGAAAGTACGTTAAGCCGTTAGTCTTGAACCTTAATATCCCTACGATCATCTCAGTTGTATCCCATCGGACCATGAGAATGAGTAAATTTTGCACCTGTGTTTGTGTTCATTTATTCACTATAATATCTATCGTGGCTGACCTTTATGAGATACGCCACCATGATCGAAATTTGGTCAGGAATAAATAATTAGGATTTTCCCATCGGATGTTTGGTCTGCTTTACTGGTAGTCCCTTATTAATAATATGGCAACTATGACTTCGAAAAAGACGAAGCTCTCAATTCGATGTAGTTTTTTTGGGTGTATGCTACGCTATATATTCGGCAATAACTGTGAACTCGTCAAAGGAAAAAATTACCCTCAAAGTTGGAATAATTTCTTTTGAACTGTTTATGAAGTCAGTGTAAGTATCATTTTAGTTAAAAAAATAATTATTATATTTTTAGATGGAAACAACACACATTTTGAAAAAGCCAATTTGTGAAGTGTCAACCCTTTATCTATGAGTCCGAACTATAATTAAGTCGCCTCCCCATAGTAAAGGTATTTGATGTTAAATTACTTTATTAATTAGTAGTATAACTGTGAAATGGTGCCATTTGTTAAGCAGGATGCATTTTTCAGTATTCTGCTTTGAACTCTCTTCATATTGAAACTATTTTAAATGAACTATAAATTTCTTGCTTCATGGTATTTCCATGAACAGATTAAAGAGCGTAGAAACAGCTTATCACTTTTCCCTTTACAACATTTATATAACACAATATAAACCCGCTAACTTGTCGATTTCATGGTGCGCGATTTCACGTAGGCATGACAATAAACACATAATTGCTATCCACATAATAATCAAAATCAAAGGCTTTTACGCGGCTGCGGTTTGGAGACAATTTTGGTCTTTCTGATGTTTGTAATTAGGTGTATTCATTTGTAATATAGACGTATGCAACCGTAAAATCACGTTTTCTGGTTAATGACGACCGTTTAAGTGGGAATGGTTCTTTCAACTGACTGCAACACTGTTCCAATAAATACAAACGCATTCTCAGAACGGAAAAAAAATTCAATCGAATTATTTATTAACTGTTGGCACTTACGAGGTGCCTCTAATCGATATCTATCTGTTTTAAAATTGTTTTAACAACTTGATATACAACATTAGTGTCATAAAGAGTTAAAACTATATTGATATTATTGTAAGCTAAAAACTTATGTACCTTTGGAGAGAAGTAAAATAAAACATTTTACCGGACATAAATTCATTTAAATCTAAATGTATATATATTTTTACAAACGGATATACTCGTAACCACAAGCCCATTTTTCAGATTAAGGAATTTTTGATTTCATGTATGGTTATTTAAATTACAAATTATTCAAAATAGTAAATTTTGTTTTTGCATAAATATAAGTTAGCATGATAAAAATTATTATACTCACAATCAGCTTTTATTGACAAGCTAATAACAATATATGTACTTATAATCATAGCATTCACTCTATATAACAAAAAATAAAAGAACTAATAATATTGTATAAAATATATTCTAAATTAGGTCTACTGTTATTATATCAGCTTTATTTGTAAGATACTAATTTCTGTTACTATATGATTGTTATATTAACTAAATAATATATCATCTATGTTTGAAAAAAAATTGCATGTGTGAGTATATAAAGTTAAATTATATATTAATTAAAGGCTATTTATTTTATTTATTTATAACCACAAGCCACAAAACGTGAAAATCTACAATTAAAGCTTCACAAAGTAACATAAACGTCTAACACACGGCCATATTAAGACTTACAGTGATATATTCCTCGTATCCATTCACGTCACTATAAGTTTTACGTGACAAGTATTAAGAACTCAAATTGCATGTCTCTATCGCAAAAGAAAATTGCAGAGAGCGAGTGAAACGAGGTTTTATTGCTACGTATGCTGTTCTAGAGTGATAAAGTACGCTACTGACTGCCTCCAAGTTCTGTAATTGCACCGTAAGTTAGTCGAATGGCATGGAGTGAGATGTATCACATATTAGAACTGAACGTTAGATACGAATGCTATAAAATGTACCGCTATAATGGCACACCATAATGTATTACAACTTTGTAGAGCGCGAAAACGTCGTAAAGATATTGTATGTATTCATACGAAATGGGGTTGATTATGGAGATGGGTGTAGCCAGATAAAGAATAGTAGATAAACAAATATATATCTGTGTACGAGAAATGAGTGAAACTAACGACGTAATACGTTTATATATGTACATACATTATTGGTTTATACTCTAAATATTATACATCATAATAACCATAATGTAGGGAATACATGTTAAATTTTCAGTAGTGCCGGCAAAGTTTCAAGTAATTCTGATCATAAATAATTTTTCGGGTTGTATTATAACGTGTTTTCCCGTGGGAATGACATAATCTCCCGCGGTAAAAAGTAGCCTATGTCACTCTCCAGCCGTCCAACTATCTCCACACAAAAAATTACGCCAATCCGTCACTCCGTTTCAACGTGAAAGAAGGACATACAAACAAACAAACAAACAAACAAACAAACAAACAAACAAACAAACAAACAAACATACTTTCACATTTATAATATTAGTATGGATTTTACTATTGCACTTATTTTATTTTAAACTAATATCGTCTGTGATCTAAATTCGGCCAGTTCCATATGTAGAGAGACAAAATTCAATTCTTTTCAAATGTTTATTTGAATTTATTTGTTGGACTATTTCCATTACGCGGTCCATTTTACAGTATGTACAATTTACACGGTACAAATTGATTTCAACGCAATAATTGTCCCCTATCTCTTTGCCTTTAAATCTGACCACAATCCTAACACAAAAATGTATTACCGTTTATTTTAGACATAAAATGGACGATATTTTAAATGTTATTTAAAACAAATTAAATTCTTTGTAGAAAGTTACAATTGATATTTTTTTAATTTTAAAGGCTTCTTTTAAATTATTTATATACATTTTTTGGAGAACCATTATAAAAATTTGTATGTTTGTTTTTCGAACAGGAAAAGCAAAGGAGCTCATATATACATAAACGTGATTAAAACTTATCATTTAATTGCTAAAGCGTTCCTCGTGTAGGTATATGAAAAAATGATGTTTTAATATTAATTTAAATTTAATATTCCTCCCTCCATAATAAACTCTGAACACTTAAACACTTTCACTTCCTTATTTAAAAATACTTTGATAACAGTTTTCATAAATTTTCGTAGCAATTTATTATAGATAGATTTTAAATATCTTAAAATTTTTAAGAGTGCACCGATGAATTTACGTGTAGTTAATTTTACCTACCTACTATAAGAATAAGATTATATGTATATGTACCTATAAGATTTTGAGAACTAAACAAGTTTATTTATAATTAATTTTCACTCGCGGCCCTGGCTCGTGCAGTAGATACAGCGACACCAATACTGTGGTATATACATTAATCCAAGATATAACGTACTCTATACTTGTTTTCTCTGAAATACGACTTTTAACATTGCAAATCAATAATAAACACACTCACAAACATTCACGCTTAGAAATGCAAAATTTGCTATTCTATGATCCTAAAACATGAAGATAAACAAAAAACACATATTTTCTAGTATTAGTACATACCTGGGGGCGAGCAATGTGACTTTAGTTCCAGCGGGAGAAGTCAAAGAGATCCGCAGATCTCCCCTCCTAGTGGCTGACAGAGAAACTCGCGCTTGTACGTGTTCCAAATAGTTCACCCCCGGACATGCCCCAACATCCAACTGTTAGAAATAATACATTATAGAATAAAGAAATGCTTGATAATCAATACTCAGTCAATACGTAGCTTTTATTTTATTAATATTAGGATAGGACATATAGGATTAATTAATATTAATTAATCCTATATATCCCATCCTAATATCCCATGGAATATAATTAGACCTGGCAAATTGTCCAGAATAGCGGCACTTTTTGACCCATAAAATATATCAATGCCAAAAACCACGCCAATTATACCACTTCCAAATATAGCCACTTCATAACTGGTAAGGAAATACAATTTTCTAAGATTTTCATCATTAAAAAAGATCACACTAATCTCAAGAAATATCAATTCGATTAGAATAATTCTTTTGTCTGTTTATTGCTGTAATTTGTAGACTACTAGCGATTCACCGTTGCTTCGCTCAGGTTCGTCCCTAGGTACGTTTTAACGGTTAGTATGAAATACAAATCTTTAGATTTCTCGGCTTTTCTGCACCATAATATACATGTATTATACATATAAACCTTCCTCTTGAATCATTCTATCTATTGCTGAAAACTACATTAAAATCTGTTGAGTAGTTTAAAAGATCTAATCGAACAGACAGCGGAAGCGACTTCATTTTATACTATGTAAAGATACTAGCGGACCCGACAGACGTTGTCCTGTCTACACGTCTTTAATTTGAAAATTTCAAACTTTTTTTTAATAATTTTTTTGATGAAAATTATTATTCAAATTGTGAATCTAAACCATTCCCAGATCCCCTTGAACACACACAAAAAATTTCATCAAAATCGGTCCAGTCGTTTGAGAGAAGTTCAGTGACATACACACTCACAGAAGAATTATATATATAAAGATATAAAAATAGTAATAAGAAAAAGAGTTGTTTCAGTTAAAGCACATATAGTGTATAATAAATTGTGAAATTTCGAAGCTTCTTATATCGACCTATTTCTCAAATGGGAGATATATCTAACATCCATCTTCCTCATTATAATAATTACAGTCGAATCTGGTGCAGACTGACATAATAAGGCACTAAATTCCGTGAATTCATAGTGGAATAATTTCAATGCAAATTCATTCGAGCGTCCGCAATTGTTGCAAATGTCGCGCACCGAAATATAGAGCCTCATCAAATTAATCTATAATCATCAAGTTAATTTGCAGGTTCATTGTTACATATATAATAGTGCAAAATAGGTGAATTCAAAATAATTTCTCATCATAATTAACTAATATTAGCACAACACTATTATGTATAGACTATTATTTTTAAAGATAAAAAGCAAAATTACAAATTTTGAAAAAAACCACGACGGTTACAAAGTAGTTGAAAAAGGATAAAATAATTTAAAACCCTCGACTTAAAAAATAAATGTAACGCGAGTGAAAAAATATTATAGGGGGCTAAAAATTATAATATTCTTAATCAATATAATCCCAGCATACCTGCATGATAATTAGATTAACAGACACTAAAACAACAGAAAATTCCAAAAATAATGAATACAGCTTCCACTACATTCTAAAATATCTTTGAATTAGTGTAATAAAAAATACTGAGCAAACACAAACTTAGTGCAGACTTTAATTTATAATATGCAAAGAATCATATAAAAAGAATCAAACCAACCTGTAAAGTGATAGACGATCTCGGTGGAACAGCCCTTTGAGGACGAGGAGCTGCTAACTCACACCTTCTTTGAGGGGGCACAGTTCTCCAAGTCTTCGCAAGTCGGACCATACCGGCCGCGTCTAGTAACCCGTAGCCGAACGAATGGGACACATTCCGCCCGACGCCGTTAATTCGCCATTCGCCACCGATGGACAGACGTTCTGGTCTGGCCGTGCGTACAACTGTATTGTACACAAAGAAATTGTTTGTTATAATACTTGAAGGGTACAGGCAAATAACAGGGGATATTACAATTTTTTTTTTTTTGTATTAGTAACAAATCGATGTTTATGGTAATTGCATTCCCAAATACCGGCTTTTCCAAATACTCAACGGATGCCGGTAAAAATAGGTTTTTTACCGACACGTTTTTTAACTGGGGATATCTATAACAAACCGGTAAAGAACGAGGATTGTTCAAAAATGTACATAGTAAAAAGTGCTGTATACTTTGATCTAAATGAAAATATTATAACTTCTGAGCTTTAAATTGTTTTTTTTTTCTTATAATCTATTCGTTGGGATATTCCCTGTTCTCTGCCTGTACCCTTCACTTTATTATACAAAATATGTATGATACATTCCATATAAAGACCTTAATCATTACATCAATTCCATTTATATAATAATACTAGCATTGCCCGCGGCTCCGCCCACGTTCAGATGACCAAAAACCAAATTGTTACGTTTTACATATTAGTATACTCTTACAATGCAGTTTTTGTATTTTTTCTTAGAAATGAGATATTTTGCCGCGGTGAAGAGTATCCTATATGTTAACTCCAATAACTAGCTATCACCATACCAAATTTCATTAAAACCCCTCCAGTGGGTTTTCCGTTATGCGGTAACAGACAGATAAACAGACAGACAGACCGACCAAAATTCTAAAATCTAAAGATTCGGCCTCTGTATCGATAATAATGTTTATTTCAATAAGATTTTCCAAAAAATATTTAATATACAAATTCGGCTTAGTTACAATTTTATTATATGTACATATGTATAGATATTATGTACATTAATAGTCCTTTAAGAATATATAAATTAATATGTTTTTTAAGCATAATAAATATTCTACCTTATATTTTGAGAAAGTATTATGAACGCTCAAATTGTATATATTTCTTTGAAGGTGCTTATGCCGGGAACTACCGGTCCAGTACCAGTTAATGAATTAATTATTTTTGCATTTTATAGCTTTTTTATTTCATTTATTTTACAGGTATATTAAATCATCCTACGACCCTCAGGAGCAGATCATAAATTAATACACATAAAAAAAATAGCAAAACTAAGTAGACAGTAGTTTCATTTATGAATAAAAAGTGTAAATTAAAAAAAAATGGGTTTTACGTATTTTAAATTCGTAACCCAATTTTCAAATTGAAATGAAAAAAAAAAAAACATTAGTAAATGGTATGTATAACAGTAATGGCATTAGCCATTACGCAAAAAAGCACAATCTCAAAGCTGTTAAAAGCTTCTTTCCACATTTACAGAGGAGAAGGATTTAATTTTTAATAATTCTTAACTCTCTACCTAAAATTGGGACGTGAAAGCTGAGTATTTAATAGTACTTTATACTTAATACTAATATCATTGCCGTAACATATTAACAGCAGTTTGGCATCTGTAATCCTGTAATCCCCAATCTAAATTGCTTTTAGATAACATACAAAATTTAGCACGAGTATATACAATATTTATGAGGAAACTTTTAGGTATTTAGTTTACGATATATGAATAATAGATGATTTTTTATAATTTATAAAGTTGTACTGAAAAATAAAGCTGTATTTTATTCAAAATACAGAAATTTCCATATGTACTTAGAATTTTAATTTTCTATTGACTTTTAATTAAAGATAAGAGCTTTATATTTAGGCATAGATTTTATTTTATATTGGACTGTAGAAAATCATGATTGATTTTAAAAAGTTTCTTGATATGTATAAACTTATTTAAAAATAACTATTGAGAAGTAATAACATGGGAATATATCAGATTAATAACAAACAAACAAATAAAAATACGTTTAAGACTTCATTTAGTTTCAAAATTCGATTCAGAACCTGGAAATAGCATAATCGCACAAATCGTTGCATAATTTATTATAAGTTTAGATTCCAAAGAAGAAGTCTATTTCTTCAAAATTCTTGTGAACATTTCCAAAAACATTCGATACCTAGAACTTTGTTTTATTTATTTTTGAAATAAATATAATTTGCCTAATATAGGAAAACCCGGAAAAAAATCAAAATTGATCACTTTAAAGAAAAACTCGTAATGTACAATGTTTATATTTTTTTTATAATAGGCTAATAAGTTGCCTAACCAATAGGTTGGAAAAATTAGATATGTCTTTCTTGTGTATATGGATTGGTCCACGGATAAAAAAGTTTTGATAACTATTCTTAATTCCATGATCTTTTTTCTTTAATAATTTCTTTATCTATTGCAAGTTTGTTCCTTTTAGATTTACAAATTCGTCAATAGTAGCAGTTTTCGTATAGCATAGCATTAAAATATTAAGAAAATGAATGGTTAAATATGTACATAATATCATTTAAATAAAGTAATTGTATAGGTTACAATGATCAAAATAATTTCACTTACCGATATGCTGCATATCCCGCCACGTGAGGTCCCTATTGGCCTGTAACGCGAGCGCACATATGCCGGCCGCTAACGGCGCAGACGCAGACGTGCCGGTGTGGCCCGTCGTGCACGAGTGGTGCAAGTCTGTTGTTACCACCTTGGAAATAGAAATTAAATAGGTCTATAATAAATGCAGTACTAAAAAACGAAGCGAGAGTAATTCGCTAGCAAGAAGATAATAGAAATAATTGTAGTTTCAAATAAATTTTTATTAAGCCCTAATATATGGAACTCATCATATTAATCAAATAAGCCCAAATTCGGATATCTTACTGATAAACATTGTAGAGTTCCACTCTGTCCGGAGTCTTTTTGAGAGTTCGATTTTTATTTGACTTTTCTATAACTAGTTGATGTCGGGTCATGTGATGGTGTCCTGTTCAAATTTTAGTAAAGTATGTTTTTGACATTTGAAGGAAAAAAATGTCAAATCGGTGTAGCTTCTTGACTGGTGTGTTCTTACGAACCAACGGCATTTGATCTTTATATATATATATATATATATATATATATATATATATATAATATATATATATATATAAACATAAATATATGTACTAAATACTTATCACAAAAAAATGAACTTACATCAATTTTACATAATAATCTTATTAGTAACACTATGAAAATTCACTAACCTGCTTTTCATTAATAGCACCGGAGCTGTAAGTTGCGGCGAGAGTCGAACTACACATTTCCGAGTACCAAGGCACTTCACCACGTTCCGTCGCAGATGATATGCTTAATGTCCAAATGGAATTAGTGTAGCCATCGCAGTTGCAATTATCGTGCTCTCGACCCCCGTTGCCAGATGCCCACACGAAGATGGAACCTTTGCCGTTACGACCCTATATAAGTATATTAATATTAGATTTTAGCAGAAGGTAAATAAAATTGGGCAAATGCTATTAAAGACGTGTGTTGAGGGTTCGTGCTAAAATATATTTGAAATCACCCCTATTTAATTAGCTTATATTTTTTTTAGAAAATACCTAAAAAATGAGCTATTTAAATAAGGGTTGAAACCCCTTAGCTTTACTCCGGATCACACTTGACCAATTTTATATATATATATATATATATATATATATATATATATATATATATATGTGTATATATATATATATATATAATTAACAGAGATTAAAGAACCAATAACTAAAGCTAAAATGTCTTCATTTTATTATTTGCAATGTAAATTAAAAGTATTAAAACACAATACTACATTTCATTATTCAAATCGTTCGCTAAATAAATATTTCGTTAAATAATTTTGTTGTAGATGTTAATTTAATTTTAAAATAGCAATTAATATGTTGATTTAGAATTATAATATTATCTTGTTAAGCAATGATGTTAATTATTAACTTTCTATCCATTTATTATTCCCTTGCGAGGTATCGCTTATAATTCAGCTCACGGAGTAGAAGTTGAGATTTTATAGATATTTAGGGCAAAACATTGGCGCTCAGAATTCTGATTACCGATTTTCTTAGCGAAATTTTAAATATAATTAGTACTATTATAAAATGCCTAGGTATTTTTTTTTAAATTAAATAATATTTTCTTTAAGTGAAACTTGATTTGTTCAGTATTTAAAATACTTTTCTTTTATGTCCAGTACGTTTGTTACACGATGTTAGTTAGACTTGAAATGTACATATATAAATTGTATGATTTCATAATTTTCTTTAATTGTAAGTTAAGACTCTATTGTTTAGTTAAATACAATATTTAAAGTGTATTTTACGGTATTTTTAGTCCGTTCGATTACTGGTTCAGGTAAGATTTTTTTTTTAAATAAAGGCAGTTATTATTATTTTTTAAAATAAGAAAATGTTTCGCTTGAGTAAAATTTGATAACTTAATATTTAAGACACTTTTCTTCCATGTCCCTTTCTTATCCTTTTGTTCCAACCTGTATATTAAAAATTTTTTGTCATTTAGGAGCATATCTTTAAGAAATGATATTATATTTATTGTATGTTTATAAAATACTAAAAAAAAACACTAACATTTAGAAAGCTATATTTATAATGAATTTGTTTATTATATCAACAAATTTATCGGTTTGCATTTTGCACAGATTGTACTATTATTCTTAAGTTTCTACACCTATTTATACATAACATTACAATAGCAGCTCTTGGGAGCAGCTCTAGGAATTAATTTAATTTTAGTTAGTTCACCGCAAGTTACATTGAATGAATGCATAGGTAGGTAGCTGGTGTATTAGAAATCTGGATACAGAAATTATATACAAAATACTGTTACAGAGTTCGTTGCTATTTAACAATTTTCTGCTTTATATATGTAATTTTTTATTTGACTTTCAGGGTTCTGCATCGTCGTTTTAATTAAATTTAAACTTATAGGGTGATCATTAGCATTTTCACGCGTGCTACTAGTATATCATCAACATACGATAGTGCGCGAGTAGAATGTACAAAGAACCATGAAGCTAAACAGAAAAGTATGCGAATTCTAGCCACCAAGATATTTTACGAACTAAAATTATACTTTCTATTAGAAACGAAAAGACGGACGTTTGAATCTTACGAAGCTACCTAAATAACAGGTTCAAAGAGAACAAATCTTAAATTAAACTATCAAAATTCCTTAAAGCATTCCCAATTCACGAAGTATAAACTCTCGCATCATCTGTTTAAATTGCACAACAAAAGCTTACTGCTGGTTTCTATTCTGATTTCGAACGTTTATATTTGCATTTAGTTTACAATAACTAAATATGAGTTCTCGTTGTTTATCCTTAACACCTCCAAGTAAAAATCTAAGAAATCAATTAAATCTCTAAGAAATCTATTTTTAACTGTTACGCTGGCGTGTCCGCGGTCGTGGAGGTATTATATTACAAGTACCTTTATCTTTGGATCAACTTTACTTAATTAAAATAAAACTAAACAACGTTTAAACCTTATAAAATAATATGTTAATTCATTTTCATCACAATCCATCCCACCCATTTTTGATTACATGTTTATATTATTTATAACAATTACACACACACACATATATATATATATATATATATATATATATATATATATACATTTATAACAATTAAGCTCTTTTAACGTTCCACCGCGCCATCCAAATAGGGTACAAGCCTTCCCTCAATGCGAGGGGGAGTAAAGCCATAGCCACCACGCTGGCCAAATCCGAGTTGGCTTCAAAAGTCTTTCAAAAATCAGTTACGGTAAGCATGTTTTCGCACGACGTTTTCTTTTACTGTATGAGTAAGTGGTATTGTAAGAGTAATCATGTTGAAAATAAAACTTGCACATAATAATCTCAGAGGTGCAAGCAAACGTGCTCCCAATGGGCTACCACTTTATATCACTTGCCATGAATAAATAAAGCGAAAAGTGGTTTAAAAAACTGTTGTAATAACTTGTAGTTCATCAGAAACGTCTTTCGAAGAGTTTTGCTTCAAAAATATCATATTCTGAGCACAAAAACAATTCTCGCTACAAAAATTGTAATTCTTTTCGTTTTCAATATAATCTATATATATAAAAGAAAGTCGTGTTAGTTACTTCGCTTATAACTCAAGAACGGCTGAACCGATTTAGCTGAAAATTGGCAGGGAGGTAGTTTAGAGCCAGGAGAAGGACATAGGATACTTTTTATCCCGTTCGACCGCGTTCCAATTTTTATGATATTTTAATTTTTGGATTTCTCTTAGTCCGGAATAGGTAAGTATTAAAACATATAATTAAAATGTGAGAAAGAAAGATTTTTTCTTTTTATATCTATTTAAAACGTACCTAGCGACGAACCCGAGCGAAGCGAGGGTGAGCCGCTAGTTTTAAATAAATGTCACCAAAAATATTTTATTTAACACCGAAGTTATTAGAAATTCCTGTTTTTATATTTTTTTCGCTTATATTTAATTCGCTATATTTATAATTAGTATATAATATGATTTCGACATTTTAACACACTGTGTAAAATATACACATGTCTAATGTAAAGAGATTTCATTTATGCTCACTAGGTCTCGGGAGGCAAACAACTTTTGTTTTACTAATAGAATTTTGTTTTGTATTATTCATTACGTGCAAACAAAAGAGCAGCTCTTTGTTACAACCAAACAATATTTGTACATTAGAATAAATATTAAAAACTATTAACTAAAGTATTTTTTAGTAATTATTAAGTCTGCTTCCATTCAATATATACAATGGTTTTTGTTTCTTTTTCCAGAACCAACTAATCCTATCTACATACATATATTAAATATACATATATATAAAAGTATCGTTCCGAAAATTAAAAATTCGGAGAAGTACTCGTACAATTCACCTATTTCTTAAAGGAATTAAAATGGCAACTGGTGCCAATCATTTTTATATATTTTATAAATAACAAAAATAAACCATAATAATAATAAGTACCTTTAATGTTAAATTAATAAAATATTAAACACTCGTCCTTTCTAAAAAATAGATAGGTGGTTAATCTGTTGGTCTATGAGCCCGAATTGTGACGCGTATATAATCTGTGGTAGAGGCGCGCCCGCGCGCAATATTAGAAAATCGTCTATATAGAAATTAGAATACCGCTCCACTGACACATGGTCGATGCTATGAGTGAAAAATATTGCTGATCTGTTCACATTGTTTGCATTTGAGTGGCTTTCTTTTGTAAGAAAAGAACGAGATTCAAAAAACCGGCCATATCAAAGGGAATTTAAATTTTGTTGGTTTAATCACCAGCAACCATATAAGCATTATTATAATATCTCATCGAAAATACTTGTTAGGTTTCCTTATTGTTATTATGTAGGTCCCTAATTTAAAGCCAGAAACCTCATGGTCCTTCCCTCAACTTAAGCTCCAACAAAATTGCCTCACATTCATATTATATTTCTTCAATAATACCCCTAAATTAATGGGTGCCTTATTTCGGCAACGTAACAAGGTAAGGGGAATGTTCCAGAAAATTGCTTTACAAAATATGTAACTTTCGCGAGATAAAAAAATTGAATCTAATATAAAGGGCTAAGCCACGACAGGCGTTGAAACTTTTCTTCACTAAACATACAGATAAAATGCTGTTCAGTGCGGGGGGAAGAGGTTGTTATGTAAATTTTATACTTAAAACACTTGACATAGAGTGCGCGGAAAGAAAATAACTGCATCATTACAAAAAATACTCTAAGAGTCTCGTGCTCACTTTAGGTACTATTTTACAATTTAATATTTATTATTTCCCTTGTTCCCAATGGTTTTTGCTGTAGCAAAAATATAAATTAATTTTTGATTATTCTCTATGGCAGGCATAAGTCTAAAATTATACGGGTTAATGCATCTGTTCAATGTAACAACGAATTAACATTTTGAGTAAATATTAAATAAAAGGTGTAGTGTTTATTATTCATTTGTATTTATTTACTTTCATGAGCGATAATATTATTCTATGAGTTGAAATTAAAGTTTGGATTATATAGAGGCCAACCTACATATTATGCAAATTAATTCCTTACCATTTATGGTTAGTTTAGGTTGTTCCCGTATAAGCAGATTAGCACGAGTGGTTTATTGGATATCGCAACATGTGATTATACATGATCCTAGTTCTCAATATATATATGTATAACTTTAATCTTTTAACATTACGGTTGTAGAAAAAAATTTACTTCTAGTTATCAAGCTATAAATGTCGCTATGGAATGCAATAATACGGACTGGCACTGGTGAAGGAATTTCTAATTTAAATTCATATAATGAGTGAAAAGAGCGATATAATGCTTTATTCTAAGAAATAAATTTTATTTTTAAAAGAATATAGAAATAAAAATAAAGGTCTTTTGAGAGCATTCTTTGCAATTAAAACACCTGACGAAGCGTGGAAGTATTTCTACAATATTGTATTTAACGCTTAAATTCACTATCTTTTCGGATTTTTTCGCGGATTTCTTGAAAGAAATCTAAAACCTTAGTTTCACCCGTGACCATGATTGCTGTAAAGCATTCGAAACGTCGGGAACCAAAAATCAAAATAAATCCACAAAAAATTCCCGAAAAAAAAGTTTTATTTAAAATGTCAAATATTCGCGTAAATCTAATAAAGTATTTCTTAAACTCAAGTTACTATTTATTATTTATTAGTTCAAAAACGGATGAAACGTTTTGAGCTATTTGAATTTCAAATAATGATCGCATAGGGATCGCATTAGAGCAAGGGTCCCCTTAGAAAAATAAACAGAGTAAAATAGGGTATAAGGTCTCCGATGCAAATTACCTTTGTAACCCCTTCAATGAACGCTCTTGTAGCGAGTTCACCTGGTCCGTCCACGGTTTTCCCATCATCGTCAGGCCCCCACGACGCGCTGTATATATCCACATGTTGTGGATTGAGACTGAGAGATCGCGCCTCCACAGCATCTGTGACGTCACCGTCTAACATACGAACACCTGACAAACAGAAAAACTAACAATTAGCTGTATATATTATTGAACGATATTTTTACTTCTAGTATATACCAATAAATGGTTTAGTTCTTCCGAGTATTTCAATTAACGGTAAAATAACAATAAAAATTCAAATAAAATTTGCTTCTAAACTCGATTCGCAAATTTTCAATAAATTCAAGTAAAATCATAGAAAGGAATTAAATATTTTAATTATAATTGTACTACAACAATGATGTTCTCATAGCCGATTCCAGCCACGGCGGCCAATCTCATTGAGACTAGCCAACTGTGCAGGAGATATTATAGTGCACAAGTGCACTCTCTATTCCTGTCACTCTCATACTCCGGTGGGACGACTGCTCGACACGACCAGTGAGAGTTAAGGCGCAGGACCGACGGCTTTACGTGCTCTCCGAGGCACGGGGGTGAAATATCGCTAACTTCCCAACTCCGGGCTGTTACTGAGACTTACTATACAGAAAGACTGAATAACTAAACTTGGCCCGACCCGAGACTCGAACCCAGGACCTCCGAGTGTGCAGCCGTACATGCTAGCCACTACACCACCGAGGCACTACAACAATATGTATAATACAAATACGGCTTATTAATAATTAATATTAACAGAATTTTCCTGTATTTTTTATTTATAAACAACAATAGAAAGTAACAATTGAGTATCTATAAATAAAACAAAAAATATTTTCAAACAATCGATGTGATTGCACCAAATCAATAAAAGCTCATGATAAAATATTTAAATGGTTGTTTAAATATTTGTAAGCTTCCGGTACGCTTTCTGGGTTCAGAAGCTTTTTTCAAGGCTGTCGATTAATCTCGCAGAAATGGGCTTAATCCACGGAAATTTTATTGTATTTTTCGAAAGTATTCATGAATAGCGTTATTATTATTATTATTTTTTATTAAAAATGGGCTCACTCTTGACCTTCATCTTAGCTTGAAAGCATAGATAAGGTCTATGATCTAGCGAGTGTGCCCAGTTTCTCGTTATTAAAATGGGACTATTAAAGAAATATAAGATAGTAATTTTAATTGTACTTCGTAGTATTCATCTCATTAAATCTTCATCACGATATCTAAAAATATAACGGTAAGATTACACGAACTGTCCTAATGCTAGTAAGCACTACAATAAAATAAATTGTGGTTTATGTACTCATGATATATTTTCTCATTTCATAATTTAAAGGCACGAGTTGAAGCAATTTCAGTACTAATTATTTATTCACATATGCAAGCAAGTTGGCAATGAGCGTTGTCTCCATTCTGACCTAAAAACGTCTAATTACGCGAACTCCGTATATCTATTTAAGTGAGAATATTTTTATGACTCTTGTTAAAGAAATGAATTGAAGCGAAAATAGAATTCTGAATCTATTCAATTATTTTAAACTAGCATTGCCCGCGGCTCCGCCCGCGTTCAGATGACCAAAAACCAAATTCTTAGATTTTACATATTAGTATACTCTTACATTGCAGTTTTTGTATTTTTTCTCAGAAATGAGATATTTTCCCGCAGTAAAAAGTACCCTATATGTTGACCCGGATAACCCGCTACCATCATACCAAATTTCATCAAAATCCCTCCAGTGGTTTTCCCGTGATGCGGTAACAGACAGACAGACAGACAGACAGACAGACACAAATTCTAAAAACTATATATTCGGCCTTTGTATGGATAATAATGTTTATTTCAATAAGATTTTCCAAAAATTATTTAATGTACAGATTCGGCTTAGTTACAATTTTATTATATGTATAGATAATGATGATATATAAAAACAAATGTAAAATCCATTTCAATCTTAAGAGTTATATGTATTTCTTAGAAACTACTGCCTGTGTATTTCTATTTATTTCAAAACCACTATATGTAACTTTACACCACATTGTTTAGAAGTGAACTGAAGTAAGTTCAAGTTTTCAACCTTTAGACACTACTTGACCTACTGAATAGAAACTTTAGTAATGCCTTTTAATAGACACTATATTGGAATGTGTTGCCTCAGTGGCTAGCATGTACGGCTACAGATCCAAGGTTCCTGGGTTCGAAACCCGGGTCGGGCTAAGTTTAGTTAGCGAGTTAAACTTTCTTTGATTTGGCTCAGGCGAGTAATATCCCACGAGAGCTTATTTAATGTAACGACATAAATAGTAATAGGCCCTTAAACTAATACGCAAAAAAATATATTATTATACATTTCATATCAATTCAACAAACAACAAACTTTCGCATTTACAATATTGTATGTCTATTTCTAAAAGTATACTAAATAATGAGACCAGGCTATAATTTGATATGCTATAAACGTATCTACAAGAACATTTCAATTTAGAGGAAAAGAGGAAAAAATATGAATATACTGCTTAGATTTCACACCTCGTTTTTACTTTGTATTCCGTGTTCAGATCACATAAGTTCGTGTTTGAGAAATATCTAATATACTCGGCTTTTGCCGACATATTTTTATCAGCGTGTATATTATATGATTATTCTGAGAAGCACCGCTGAATGGTTTTGATAGAGATTGTTATTTTGTACAGAACGCTAAAGTATGAATGAATATTATGTATATCTAGATTTACTTAGAAACGAGATCGAGTTTAGAATTATGTAAATAGTTTTTTTATCGTTCCTGAGTTGTTTTAGAAACAATAGAAATAAGAGTTTTTTAAGTAAAGTTCTTTGACTGTCTGCTATCGAGCGCATTTCGGGAAAATATATGGAAGAATTTCAATTATTTTTCCAGTACAGGTTTTTAAATTACGGATCATGTTAAAAAGTAGCTAACCGATTGAAAATAAATAACCATGCAAAATTCCTAACAAAACGTAAAGATAAATAGATAGCTTAGAAATAGAAAAACGCTGAGCTACGAGGCGTTCCTAGAGGAAGAATTTTATAACTCTATAGTTTGTACTTAAAAAATTATGAGTCTTCAAACATCTGTACTATGTACTATACCGAAGCAAAGTATTGGCTTAGAATTAGACTAGCTTAAATCGAATTTCTAAAGTTGTATCTATTACTTTAGCTAAACTTTTGCTTTGCAACTATTAATATCGTCATAAATCTTGTAAATTTAACCTATACGAAATACCAGGTTTAATAATGGAGGAAAATTATCCCTTTGGTATTTTGATAGAGAGATAGTATAAATTTATATAAGCTGCTATTATTAGATATGATGTTATAATTGATTAAGCTAAAATTGGTTCATTATTTTGTTAGGTTCATGTTTTTGTAGGTCAATGGATTATTATATTAAATAAGCAGATTAATCAAATCGATACACTGTTGCTACCGTTTTCTCTTTGACTCTGTTGGGTTAAGTTATATAAAAGCCCTGTAATATGCTTACTTTACACTGATACATTAATGATAATAATTTATATTATAAACCTGCTTATTTGAATATTGCGTACATACTACCTAGATACGTCGGTAGTACGCATAGGTATTATATATTGATGGATATCAATAAACTTATTTAATACTATAGTATAATTTGGCCTAAATATTGAGAATATTTTTGCATTTATAAATTAGTAACAGAACCTGCGGCTTCGCTCGCGCTAAAACTACAAAAAAAATCTCTAAAAAGGTAGTTTCATCTAAGAATCATCCCCTATTTTACCCCCTTATAGGATGAATTTCGAAAACGCTAAAACACGTATTTATTTAATTTTATTGAAGAACATTAATACCAAGTTTCAAGTAATTCTGATCATAAATATTTTTTGTATTGTACTATAACGTGTTATCCCGTGGGAATTAGATAAACTCCCGCGGTAACAAATATTACTCTCCAGCCCTACAACTATCTCCATACAAAAAATCAGGCCAATCCTTCACTTCGTTTCGACGTGAAACAAGGACAAACAAACAAGCAAACAAACAAACAAACACACTTTCACATTTATAATATTAGTATTGATTTCAATGCTGAGATGTAAATCGAAACAACAAATCACTTGAGATTTGTTTGCAGGAATTATGTATGAAAATCAATTATCGCGTACAAAGCTTTATCAGAGTTTAACGCTGAGCTGAACACTTAACAAGAATATCCCCACTTTGACAGAACAAAGCGAGTTATTAACGGTAACAACAATCCCCAAGGGAAAATATGGCAATGTATGGATCCATAGGTACACGATAAAAATATGATTTTTATATAGGTAAGTATCATGATACTTACAATACAAATAGGCCTAACCTCTCGAAGCCCTATCATTTGACAATTCAAACACACTATATAAACTTGATAATTCATTTTCAGGACTTTAAGTTCTAAATATTAGCCAATCAGGTATGTGATTTGGTCAGTGATACAGTTATATTGTAAAGCCTTTCAAATTAAAAGAGAATCATACAAATCGACCTAAAGAAGATTTTACTTTAAAGTTATTTATCGATTATTCATATAGAAAAAAAATCGGTCAAATGCGAGTCGAATTCACACACGAACTTTATTAATATGACTTTATGGATGTAGTAAATTAAAACTTCGATGATCGATTACGAACGTTAGATTTTTTTTCTTGTACTATATGCATTTTTATTTATTTTGATTATTTGTTGTTATAGCGGCAATAGAAATACATACTCTGTGAAAATTTCAACTCTCTACCTATTACGGTTCATGAGATACAGACGGACGGACTGACGGACAGCGGAGGCTTAGAAATAGGGTCCTGTTAGCACCCTTCGGGTACAGAATATTAATTAATTTTTACTTACAACCGTATATTTCATTTTTACTTTGCATTAAATAATAATTTAAGCATACTGACGCCCACTCAGCCGTGTAAAATGTTACAGGTAAAGCTTTCATATAAATTAATCTATTAGTGAAAATGGGAAAGTTAATTCATGGATACCTAGGAACCTAAAATTAAACAAACATTATGTTTGAACAATTTTGTAATAGTTTTATCTACGCTAATATTTCAAAAAGGTAATAATTCGCGAATTTCTATATAGGAAGTTAATTAACTCCGGAACTGCTGATCCGATGTGTTCCTCTGTTATGGAGCTGTATAGCTATATAGTCCTAAAGGCAAATATGGTACTTTTATCCCATATATCAAGTGTTTCCTGTGATATGGCTATATTTTAAAAAGCCTGAGCTCAGCGTATGCGTGTCATCTATACATATAATAAAATTGTAACTAAGTCGAATCTGTACTTTTATTATTTTTTGGAAAATCTAATTGAAATAGACATTATTATTATTGATACAGAGTCCGAATCTATAGTTTTTAGAATTTTTGTCTGTCTGTCTGTTACCGCATCACGAGAAAACCACTGGAGGGATTTTGATGAAATTTGGTATGGTGATAGCTGGTTATCCGGTTCAACATATAGGATACTTTTTACCGCGGGGAAATATCTCATTTCTGAGAAAAAATACAAAAACTGCAAAGTAAGAGGAGGTATACTAATATGTAAAACTTAAGAATTTGGTTTATGGTCATCTGAACGCGGGCGGCACCGCGAGCAATGCTAGTATGAAATAAAAATCCCCTAATATTTATGATATAATACTACAAGATATAAATGAAAAATAATATAAAGTCTACTTTACGAGATATATAAAAATAATATTAAGAATAAAAAAGAATTACTTACCCCCAACGCTAGCGTCATATGCGACACCGACTGCGCATAGCGAGTTATTTGCTGTGGCAGCGACCTCACCCGCACATCTGGTTCCGTGGCGGTTAGAGTCGATCATGTCGTACCGCGGCTGTGGGTCTGAGTCGTGAGAGTTCACATCATACGATGCCATGGGATCCTAGGAAAAACAATTTTTGTTCTCGTCAATCAGATTACTTTTATATTATAAATATACGCAAGTTTGTACGTGTGTGTATGTTTTATAGTCTTTCAAGTATTATACTCTTTAAGGGCTGGGCCGATTTGGATGAAATTTCGAACACAGACAATAAACAGGCCTAGGCACCAACCCGAGTGAAAATCCAGGGTAATTCGATAGTTTATTATAAATGTGAAAATATGTTTAATAGATAGATTTCTTTCATTAGATATTATTTCTTCCTGTTACAGCTTAACTGGAAGAAATCTCTTAAGAGATAAGTCCGCCTAAGCCATCATCAAACTCTTTGTAATTTTCATAAGCTGTTTTTAAAATGCTATAAAGAATATAATAAATTAGTAGATACGTATATTTTTAAATATCTTAGGATTTCATGTAGGTCCATTAATGCACATATGTACACATATGTATAATAAAAAATAACTGGCTCGCTGTCTCTACTGTGTGTGTCTGTGGAAGATATTAATGCCCAATTTCACCAACGTCACCTAAGTTTAAGGGATCCCCTAAGCATGGTTAGGGGGCTGTTAGTGGACAGTTTCTGTTTCACCGATAGTTAGAGGTCACCTAAATATTAAAAGGCCCCCTAAATTTAGGTGCTCGAAATACGGGCTTAAAGACGATCGTAAAACTAAATTTAATTTATGGGCTAGTTTAGGGAACTTTTAAGCTAGGGATCCCATACGCAGGTGGTAGCTTATGGGTTGTTGGTGAAATCGGGCATAAGAAACACTATTATTGTGGAACTTTATTATTGCAATAGAACCGAAAACGAATGATTTTTCGAATTTCTGTCTGTTTGTCGATTTGTCAGTTCTGTTTGTGCCATAATCTTAGAAACGGCTTAACCGATTTGGATGTTCTTCACTAATGTACTGTGATAAGCTTTACTTAAGATGTAGTGTTTGTTTTATTTCAATCGGTTCGTAAATAAAGTTATGTCAATTTAAAGAATCACCCGGGAACGAACCCGAGCAAAGCGAGAGTGAGGCGCTAGTACAAAATAATTTTATAAGATGCCTGGTACTAAATAAAACTTTCTTGTATATGGTATACAATATCAGTGTCTTACGCGAAAAAATGCTTTATAGCTTTAACACCTCCAGGCAAATTTCTAAGAAATTAATGAAATTTCTAAGAAATCTTAACTGTGACGCCGGCGTGTCCGCGGTCGTAGAGAGTTTAAAATCAACACTATAGGAACTAAAAATAAATAATTACTTTCACTGTTTAAAAGTATTTACAAAGTGCATTAATTTGATAGTAAAAGCTTCAAGTTAATAAAACGTCGTTTTAGTAAAAAATATACACAGAATATTTAAAAAGTAAGCCAAGAGTTTACGAGCTAACTTTATAAGTGTGTCATATTTTTATACGTAACTCGAAATTACATCGGCTAATGCGGCAAGTTGGAGGACTAAGTATATATGTATATATCATACTTAATTTTCATTACTTGCATTTTAAATAAAACTATCTTTTCGGATTATTTCGTGGATTTATTTTGATTTTTGGTTCCCGACGTTTCGAATGCTTTACAGCAATCATGGTCACGGGAGATACTAAGGTGATAGACGTCTCAAACACATATACATGTTACAGACAGTGCCTACCCACTATTTTACAAAAATATCAAACATTCGCGTAAATCTAAGAAAGTATTATTTCATTACTTGCCTCTGAGCTTTAGCTTAAACCAGTTACGTCGTGATACCAATTGAAAGCTTTAAGCTAATTCTTGAACAAATTTCATTTTGTAACTTCAATCCAAAAACAAACATTTGTGTATAGATGTGTCTGTCTTAAAACTCAAAGACTTGCCAAAGTTTTTGATTGCTTTTAATTGACCTACGAAGATCTTCGACAGCTTCCAAACTTCACGTTAAAATCGTTTATACCTTTGAAATTCGAAAGCGAGCTAAGTTAATTAATACTTAGAAAATACTCATTTCAAATACAATTTACCATCGTATACAAGAATATAACTATAAATTCTTATTCAATATTGGTACCTTTAAAACCATTTATATTTCAAGGTTCGAACTTTGTCCCTTATTCGAAAACATTCAAATTAAGTAAGTAAATATATAATTAAGAAAATACATAAAGCAGATTGTCTTAGAATCCGTCAAGCATGTTTACTAGTCAATGGTCTTGGGATTCGAACTAGTTTTTCGTCTATACTAATATTATAAAGAGGTAAAGTTTGCGAGTTTGTGAGTTTGTGAATTGTGAGTTTGTGACGTTGTAGGGGGTAATCTCTGGATCTACTGAAACAATTTAGATGAAATTTGGTAAGAAGATAGTTTGAGACCCTGGGAAGGACATAGGATACTAAAAATGGGAATAAAAGTTTGTATGGGGAATCAATCTAGGGACGAACCCGAGCGAAGCCAGGGTGAGTCGCTAGTATATACTCGTACATACAAGAGATTATATATCATATGTTTCAAAAGTACGTTTTGTAGTAACAAAGTAATTCAGCCTAATTCTCAAATCAGTTAAGGACAGTATATCTTTTTACTCGAAAACTTTTGTCTATCATTAATAAATTAATGCTATTTGCAAACTTATGCAAATTGCCTTAACTTATAATCGCATTATATTAAATTCTGAAAACCTTTGCATTAAATGATAAACATTTTAAAGATACTTAACCCCGAAAAGTACAGCTTCCAAGAGCAAAACCTTTATCAAATAAAATGCGTTTTAATTCTATCTAACACTAGCATTGCCCGCGGCTCCGCCCGCGTTCAGATGACCAAAAACTAAATTCTTAGGTGTTACATATTAGTATACTCTTACATTGCAGTTTTTGTATTTTTCCTCAGAAATAAGATATTTTCCCGCGGTAAAAAGTATCCTAGGATCGCGCGCTACATCGCCCGGTTTATATAGCTTGAGCAGGCGGTCGAGCGATGCGGGGCAGAGGGGATGGACTCGCCGTAGGCATCTCAATGCTCGCCAAGCATTAAAAATGTTTCGCTACTAATTACTTCTAACAACGATATCTCAAAAACTATTCATCTGATTGATTTAGTGTAAAGAGCAATTTTAATCTGCATTAAATGACTAAGCTAACTAAAATATTCATTTGGATAAGGATTAATACCGAACTAAAGAAAATAACTTTGAAAATAACGTAATGTTTTTAATTAAAAATGTTAACATAAAAGTGGTTATTGTAAGTCAACCGTAAGAGATAGAGATATGCTATCGCGGACTTTTTTGTAGCATTTTTATAGATTTTGAATTCTCTAGTACATTACTTAACTGTATCTTTGCTAGTTTACGCGGCGTTCGCGTGGAAAGTTCCCATTTGGCGAGATTTTTTGCGACCTCTTCAACATTTGTCGCCGTATTTCAGCTAATTTACATAAAAGCATAATAAATTATATACCTAAACCTTCCTCAAGAATTACTCTTTCTATTGTTGAAAACCGTATAAAAATCCGTTCAGTAGTTTTCGAGTTTATCGCGTTCAGACAGACAGGAGGACAGACAGGAGGACAGAAAGACGCGGCCGGGGGACTTATTTTTATAATAAGTATAGATTAGCAGCTGTGCAACATACATATTATATGTAAGTTACACGAATTCCAGCAAAATTGAACACTTTGCAGCTATATATTACTGAGATGAAAGACCGTTTATGCGCTGATTCGAAATATCGCATATCCCCGTAATAACACTGACCTAATTACCCGTTTTTCCACACCAACATTGAGATTAAAGCATACGCTAGATGAATCGTGTAATTTCAAACTCAACCGCCTTTGTATGTGAATGTCTCTCTGAAAGCGGTAAAACACATGGCTTACAGCTTCGACTATAATCACGTGAAATATGTACTAAGCAGAACTATAACAAATGTGCTTTACTATGATTAGGCCCGAGAAAAAATCTAATAAAGCCTGAAAAACATCATTAACGTACTTAGTTTGTAAAAAGATTGGGAAATTGTTTTAGCAAAACGCTGTTATGTAAAATGGAAGGACATCCTGATGGCAACGTTATATAAAATTTAAGACTATGTAATATATATGCTTACCTTTTATATAAGGTATTTCTATTGTTTTACACAATATACTTTAATAAGGCACAATATAATGGTTTACCACCTTGTGTCTTATTTTTCTGTTAAATTAGGGATAATTATTGATTATCCTTTTCTTATGTCGATTTATCTATACATATTATAAAATTGTAACTAAGCCGAATCTGTACATTAATTTTTTTTGGAAAATCTTATAAAAATAGACATTATTATCGATACAGAGTCCGAATCTATAGTTTTTAGAATTTTTGTCTGTCTGTCTGTCTGTTACCACATCACGAGAAAACCACTGGACAGATTTTGATGAAATTTGGTATAATGATAGCTGGTTATCCGGGTCAACATATAGGATACTTTTTACCGCGGGAAAATATCTCATTTCTGAGAAAAAATACAAAAACTGCAATGTAAGAGTAAACTAATATGTAAAACCTAAGAATTTCCTTTTTGGTCATCTGAACGCGGGCGGAGCCGCGGGCAATGCTAGTCTGATATATATCCGATGCTATCGACACAAAATAATCATACAATTACAGAACAATACTTCCTTTAAGGTAGTGAATCGCTAACTCTCTAGTACTTGGGTGAAAATAATCGGTATTCAATTTTCCAAGCCATAAAAGAAAGCTACAAAACAGTACGAAAACTGCAATTTCAGACTCGAGCGACTTTGTTCATGAATGTCACTTGTGAGCGAGCAAGAACGCAAAGCTATTTATTTAAAGCTACTACTTGCTACGAAGAAAGATATATACAAACAAGCTCCTTTGACTTCGAGTCACTCAGTGCGCTCGACGACGTGCCTCGTGATGTTAGTTCTTCTATTAATTATTATGATTATTATATAAGATACCCAAACTACTTCAGATTTAATAAAAAAATTAATTTTTATTTTCTCATTATTCCTTATCTTTGTAGATATTCTGAAATCTTCATCTTCATTAAAAATGAATCTTCAAGTGAATGATTGGAAAACTTTATTGCAAAGACAACATAATATCGAGAATACTTTCTGTAAGTAAGTGTGATCTGAAAGAACACATAGGATATGCAAAGGCGATTATTGCTAGAAGAAATATCTATTAAAGCCTTCGATTAAAGGATTTATCGACACGGAATCGGGACGGTGCAATCCTTATAATGTAAAGCTCTATATCTTCAATAGCTTCAATATTAAAAAGATTTGCCAAAATAATATCGAAATATATGCAGATGCATTAAATGTAGCCATATAAAAATCAAAGCACACATTATAACTACAAAAATCCTTGCTTTAAGCAATACGCTGCAAGCACAGAGGACGTGGTCCCTATGCAGTTTGCAAGATGCGGTATCGGCGTGATGCCAATTTCCAATTGTGACCGTTTCGATCTTATGGATCTCTTCAGTAGTGGGTAATACCACTAGACGGTGAAGCGTTTTATTATGCTTAGACTCCTTTCGGAGTGCCGCACAGCTAGTCCCTAACGGGTAGGGCCTCTCGGCCGCCTAGCAGTGTGTAGCGTAGTAAATTGATACTACTGAGTACTCGGACGTTGTTCCGGATACATCGTAGGCTATCCCTTTACCCTCGAATCTCTTTTCAGATGACTCTTGAGCTTATAGCTCAACTGATGAGTTCCGTCGCCTTAGCGACACAGAACGAAAGTCACCTAACCCTACCTTGCTTTAAGCAATACGCAGCAAGCGCAGCGGACGTAGTCCCTATGCAGTTTGCAAGATGCGGTATCGGCGTGATGCCAATTTACAACTGTGACCGTTTCGATCTTATGGATCTCTTCAGTAGTGGGTAATACCACTAGACGGTGAAGCATTTTATTATGCTTAGACTCCTTTCAGAGTGCCGCACAGCTAGTCCCTAAAGGGTAGGGCCTCTCGGCCGCCTAACCTAAGAATTTGGTTTTTGGTCATCTGAATGCGGGCGGAGCCGCGGGCAATGCTAGTTAAACCTATAAAATACTGATAAATTTATTTTTAAACTAATATAATCAAATATTTAATTGTAGCTGTATACGAGTAAATGGCAAATTAGTGGCAAATTCAAGCTCACAAGACTCTCATGCCTCGCGGTTATGAATAGATTCCTCGCGTGGCTGGCGCACCGTGCTGGCGTGCTTTCGAGCTATTATGCCGATACTAATTGGAGCCTCACTTACATTATTAGCAATACCGATTACGATTTCTGATTGAGTGCTGAATGCTGAGTAATTGGTCAATGTTGAGTTGGGTCGATGTATATTATGTTTTGTGAAGTCGTTTTAAAATACTAGCGACTCATTCTCGCTTTGCTCAGGTTCGTCCCTAGGGTGGTTCCCCATACAAACTTTATTCCCTATTTTCACCTCCTTAAGGATGTGTGTGATTTCCGGAATAAAAATATCCTTTGTCCTTTCCAGGGACTCAAACTATCTTCTTACCAAATTTCATCTAAATCGGTCCAGTAGTTTTTGAGTTTATTCGTTACAAACATACAAAAATACAAATCTTTCCTCTTTATATTAGCAGTGCAGAAGTGTAGAAAATTGGATCGTGAAAATGAACAAAATGACTTAATATGTCTACTAAGAAATATTTTTTATTGTATTTAATCTTCTACAAATCTTAACCATCTAAATTAAGTAATATAAATGACTCATAAATTAATTAATTACTTATAATTAAGTAAATTAGTTTTTTCTTATATACTTATAACTATCTAGTGACCCGCTCTTGCTTCGCTCATGGCCCGAATATACAGTTAGTAAAAATCGAAAATGAAATATATTATCCCACGGGATTAACTTGATATGATTTTGTTTCATATTGATATAATAATTATGTCACTCTCAGCCCATAAAGTGTATTTATATATTTATACTACAGTGGTTTTTCTGTGATGCGGTAACAGACATACAAAAATTCTAAAAACTATTGATTCGGCCTCTGTATCATGTACCATAAATATATGAATCATAAATATTTAATATACAGATTCGGCTTAGTTACAATTTCATTATGTATGTATAGAAAACATTACATCGATCAGCTTCTCCGTTACTGAATGAACAAAATTACGTATTTTATTTTAAAGTAAAAGAACTAAAAACATGTAAGGAAATTTTAATCGTACAGTATATACTGCATATAGACAGTGAAACAAAACCTCTTAATTAATAAAGCTTTGAAATTAATATATTTATATGTATGTATTCAGCCCTTTTTATCGTCCCACTGCTGGGCACGGGCCTCCCTTCAGTACAAGGGGAATCAGGCCATATATTTATATGTCGTATGGTAATTTCTTCTAACTCGATGGTAACTTACCACAACAAAAGCAATTTTTGTAACTTCTTTCAATTAGTTATATATATACACTAGCGGACCCGACAGACGTTGTCCTGTCTACAAGTCTTTAATTTGAAAATTTCAAACTTTTTTTAATAATTTTTTTGATGAAAATTATTATTCAAATTGTGAATCTAAACCATTCCCAGATCCCCTTGAACACACACAAAAAATTTCATCAAAATCGGTCCAGTCGTTTGAGAGAAGTTCAGTGACATACACACTCACAGAAGAATTATATATATAAAGATTAAGCTTTTGTCATTTTCGAGAAACCTAGACCGTATATTTTACAATCAAGCGCCAATTGTTTCAAATTGTTGTTTGTTTCTGTTAGTGAATGTTCTAATGACATTTATTGTTTTTAAATTAAGAGAAATCGTATACGGATTCTCTATTGTTGAGGAAAGTTTACTGAACTTATATAAGAATAACGAAATATTTGTGCTTATTTATTTGACAATAATGAAACAATAAAAGATTTTTCTTTTTGTTTTCTAATTGTGAACTTTATTCTCTTATTTATGGCTTTTTAGGCAATTCGGCATTAATAACATGTTTTCTATTGAAATGTCAACTGAGTAATCTTTTTAAAGTTTAAAAGGCAGTCCTTACAAAGTAAAATAGACGAATTTGACATAAAGGGTCCATCTCGACCTAAAAGATCCTAAAGGCCCCAATATAAATAAAAATAATATATAAATGTAGAGAATTAATATTACTTACATAATTGACAACTAAATCTGGATGATCCGTTTCCAGACCGTCATCTAATATGGTGACCACGACGCCTCGTCCCGTGATGCCTTCCCGCCAAGCTGGGATGACGTTCATATCTAGACCTCCACCTCGGTTCTAAATTTAAAAAAAAATAATTATTATTATATATAAAAACAGATTTTTTTATTTTTTTTAAGAATTATATATGTAAAGAAAACCACCTCTTAAACGAGTGCATTTCTTAAGTTTATATTTACTACATAAATACTCTTTGATCAATTCCAAAAAAAAATACATAATCAAAAGGCAATAAATCTTGTGTGAAAGAATGACAAACTAATAAACTTCTTATTAATAATTGCTTAACACTTTCTTATTAATAATTGCCTTAAGTATAATATTATGAAAAAAAACCTATTTGTCTGTATATAATTTTTTACAAGTGGAATTTGTATAGTGGCTAGTTAATACAAATATGTATCGTTAGAATGGTAGTTTCTTTAGATTATTAGGTGACGCTTAACGTATTTTAGTTAATGTTTCCTATAAACAAGTGGGTATACCTAGTCTAAATATTTTCTGTTATATGCTACTCTAAATGCTCGCGGTATAGTATCGATACATATGTTCCACAGGAAAACCTCTTAAGTTTAAATACATCTGAAGTGTAATGGAGAAAATTGCTGGAAACTTTCTTGCACTTGGGACCTTGTTTAAAAATTATAGCCTCAATGCTATCATGTTATAGTAATTTGATGATATACTTAAAAAATATCATATTTCTATTATATACTTAGTTTTATCCTATCGTACTACGTACGTATTGAAAAATATGTACATTTTGAAAATAAAAAAATTTAACAACCATCACGGATTAAATGATATGTTAAAGTTATACGTAAATGACATGTAATGGTTATACGTCAACTCTCTACATATTTACATTTATCTACATTAAGAATATCATAATTATTGTAATGCAAAACATTTTTATTAGAGTGAGTATTTGACAAAGTTATTTTATACGTAAATAAAGCCTACGGCTCTCTAATACCACAACATACACAAAGGAAAAAATGCGGAAAAAATACGCTTTAAAACGTAAAAATATGAAACAAATATGCACAGAATGTTGTCCGTTGAAAATATTTTGCTAAACTTTAGCCCTTATTACGAATATTATATGTATGTAGACTTCGAAAACATCTGATCAAGTATCTAATTCTTTTCTAAATGAAAACCCCCGTTTAGTTATCTTTTTACATTTTAATGCCTGGAAGTTTTTTTTTCTTTTTTATTTTTACATTTTTAGTGTAGACGTAATAAGCAGGTAATTTGTAAGAAGAAAGTTTTTAATAACATATTCGATTAAACAATTTATTTAAAAAAATATATTTGTTGATTTTTTAAAAAACCGCTCGACCGATTTCGATAACATTTACATGGGACCACCTGGGAAGTATACCTTTCAAAACAACAAAAAAAATTTCAAATCGCTTCAGGCGTCTTCGAGTAATCGGTGAACATACATAAAAAAAAGGTTCCGACTAACTGAGCACCTCCTCCTTTTTGGAAGCCGGTTAATAAAGTTATACGTACATTAAAAAATGTAATATCTAAGCTTTTAAAATAAATGTCATCTTTTTAATATTTATTAAAATATCGGTTTCATCCCAAAGGAACTTAGTTTTAATTTCGAAAATGTAAATCTTATAGTTTTCAATAGTAGATTAAATAGAACTGTTTTACAGAAAATTTCATATTTCCTAACGACCACTTATAAAATCTATTTTAGTTACAATTTCAGTTACTATAGAAATTACATTTTCTTTAAAATACTTAGAAGATAAATACTTTGGTGTCAGTCCAACCGAATACCCGCTAACCCTTGAGATTTCTTTAATGCCAATTCTTATATCGTTTTGAAATATTTTATTTCTCAAAAACCAAATCAAAAATTGTATCAGCCCTTTTTAACTTCCCTTTGCTGGGCACGGGCCTCTTTTCAATACGAGGGCGATCAGGTCATAGTCCACCACGCTAGCCAGGTGCGGATTGGCGGACTTCATATGTCTTTCGAAAACTTGCTAGGTTCTCTCAGACATGCAGGTTTCCTCACTATGTTTTCCTTCACCGTAAGGCAAGTGATAATCATGTTAGAAATGACACGCACATGAAAATGTCACAGGTGGAGACCCGGGTTTTGAACCCGCTTTACTCTGTTTCCTAAGCAAGCGCGTTACCACTGGGCAACCACTGCCTTTCAAAAATATATTTTTTAAATATTCAATTAACAAACTGGACCTCGTTTTTAACTATTTCATATGTACCTACACCTTTATATAACTTTTATTTACAATTATACAGTATTTTTCTTGTTAAATAGTTATTAAAACCTAAACAGTCAAGAAGTAACAATGACCCGTCTAACTGTCTTACGAAAGAAACAAAATTTATTTTAAATTACTTCAGACTTTTCATGAGCGTAAACAAAAACAAACTTTTGATTTGATGTTTAATATTGCAGAAGGTTTTGCAAGAGCATTGAAGTTTTTCTCGTATGAAACCAAATTCAAATTTTCTTTAATGTAAGTTAATAGACTTCTAATATATGAAGTTCTTTCGTTAAAAACTGAAAAAGTACAGTTAAATTTAGTAAGTTCAGTCCTCATATAATTTTGTATTTTCGTCATAAAACTTTTGCTGATATTAAAATTGTTAACATTTTAAAAGATTTTTGTAAAAAGGGAGTTTTTGTCAAAATAAGAATTAATAAACACAATAATTATTAAATATTCAAGTACCTAATAACTTTAATAACAAATGGGAAATCTTATAATCAAGACATAGATAGGGCAAATAGGGAAGAGCACCTCATCAAAAGATAATATGCCGGAAAATTAGCTATTAGTCGTAGTCGACACAAGGCGCCTTGTAAAGGGAAAATTAAGACTTAATAGTAGTACGATATATACAATAATATGAGCCGTTTATCCTAAACTAAATTACATCTTTACTGAGGGATATATGCAACTACAAAATAATATAAACTCCAAAATGTACATAGCATTATAGTGTCAAGTGCTATTACTACATCTCTAAAATATACCTACTTTTTAAATAAATTAAAATATAAATCATTCAAATGAATATTGGAGAAAACTTACGAAAAAAAACAATTTTATTCATATTCAACATGCACATTTGCCACTAAAATAATTTTGTTCGAGCCATGAACGCTTTTTCTGTTCAAATTGTTCCATGATTCAATTATCGTGTTTTTAATAAAAGCATATCTGCCGTAGAACATTTCTTTTCATCGACAGCAAATTTAATCTACAATACAGATTTAAAAACCAATTTTATAAGGGCTATTTTATGAAATTCTTCCATAGTACAATAGGTTAAATGCAATAAATACATACCAAGTACCACATGTGTGGCCATTTGGGATCGTTTAATTGGAACTTGGAATCTGCAGAACGCGGCCGCCCTTTCACTCTCGAATGCATATCCCGCTTCGAACTCGTTTCTCTTTTTACAGAGGGCGCCCCCGATGCTTTTGTTTCAGCTGAAACAAATTTTATAAAGTTTAAAGACGGTGTTTTGTAAATTTGCGTGAGGAAACCACATTTGTGATACAACACATGAAAGTGGAACGCTTTCTCATAGTAATATGATAAGCAATTTATTATGTACATAGTTTTAGATATAAATATTATAGAATAAATGACTGAAATTTTTGATAATAAGTGAAATCGCGGCAATAAGAATATACGGCATAAAAATTCTAAGCTCTATAGAATTTTTGAAATGAATAAAATTACGTCAAGGTTTAGTGCTATTTTTTTATTTAGAGTTCAGTATTTTTTTTAATAATATTAGAATAAAAATAACATTTTACTTTATGAAACAGTTTACTATAATATTTTCAATTCAATTCAATTCTTTGTAATTTGGTTTTTAGGCGTGCCAGTTGGGCACAGATTACTTCGCCAATGTCGTGTAGAATGGAGAAGAGACGGTTAAAAAAGAGATACTATAATATTTGATATCTAAGCTTAATTATGTAAATGTTCAGACACACTAAGTTTATACATATAATAAAATTGTAACTAAGCTGAATCTGTACATTAAATATTTTAAGGAGAGTCTTATTGAAATAGACATTATTATCGATACACAGGCCGAATCTATAGTTTTTAGAGTTTTTGTCTGTCTGTCTGTCTGTCTGTTACCGCATCACGGAAAAACTACTGGAGGGATTTTGATGAAGTTTGGAATGATGATAGTTTGTTATCTGGGTCAACGTATAGGATACTTTTTACTGCGTGAAAATATCTCATCTCTGAGAAATCTATACTAAACGTTAAAACGTAATTAGGGGCGAACCTAAGCGAAGCGATGGTTAGTCGCTAGTCAAATAATATAAAATTTTAAATAATTAAGATTATTATTTACAAACATGATGAATGATCTACTTGTAGAACTTAAAAATTAAAAATGATATACATACATGAACGACCTATTAAATAAGTTGTTATTTTTAGTATTTCCATTCAAAATACCTAAAAGACTTCGAAAGAAGACGCAATCGAATAATATATAATTCTCTTTCAGTATAAAATTCTACGGACAATTTCCTAGCCACCAGGTGTTGCGTTCGTGAGCAGCGAGCATTAAGTGGTTTAACATTGGGTTATCATGAAAGTAAATGTTAAAGAACAGAAATTTACTCGAGTATTTTATTAAAACTGTGAAAGAAATTCCTTTTGAATAGGTAATAAACATGAACAATACAATTTATCAGAAAACAAAATACGTAACGTATAATTGAGACAATTTTCTGTGGAAATTACGATTTAGAGAGTTAATTTTCATTATCATCAATATTGAAATTTGTTATTTCTAAAGAAATTTATAATCAATAAATATAATATAAATAAATGAATGATATTCATATATAATGCATACAGACAAAACAATGTATTTTATTTATTTTTAGTGTCCGCACCCTAAAAGTACAGTAGGCCTTATAGATATAGGTACCTAAGCCATGCTTCATACGTTGTACGACCAAAACTCTATAGGTAAATATTGTAGAGATATAATAAGTTTAAGTAGAATTGATAATAATTAGTACTCGAATATCTACAAAAACATATTTATTCATTTACCTGTACTGCTTAAGTCTGTTAATGTTTGAAAATCCCTCTTCTTTCTCGAAAGGATCTTTTGTTGTTTCGCCCATCGCACGCGCTCGTCCGTTTCTAACCGGTTGTGATGTTCGTGCGCAGGTTGCAATGAGCGCTTCGCAATAGAGTTGTGATGAAAATGATAGTGGTTCTGGAATATCTGTAACAAAGTTAACAAATGAAATTTTACTATTTAAATAACATAATAGTTGATGACAATTAAAAAAAATACAAAAAATTTGAGAGCATATGTCGGATGTATGAAAAGAAAGATTTTTCTTTAATTCCATCTTAGATTTAGAATTTCGCACCGGGGCATAGCCAGTGCCCCGCAGGGTGGCTCCGACGTCTACTCATTTCTACGAAAAGCGCGGGAAAATAATTTGAAGGCCCCGTCTTTTTTTTTAAGCATTCTTACCGGCCAAGGTTACATTAAATTATTATATATAGCAATAAATGTCAAATCATATAAGTATATTATTTATCGTAATTTAATGTTTTTAAACAAAAAAAATAATTTCAGTTTTTATTTAAAAACTTTAAATATTCATGCCAAATAAATGAATCATTAGTCTATAAAGAGTTACAGGATTGATATTTATACTTAAAGTTGTTTCAAATTGTAACAACGAGATAGGACTTAAATTTTATCAATACATTTTCCATCTGTACATAAATATTACCACTAATAATTTATAGTATAAGTAAATAGCTTTAAAAACTCATCCATCTATCACGCTTTCATTACGGAAGTGATCGACTGTAACACTTACATTTAGCACTCCGGAAAAGTTATTGACTCGTTTAATTTTTCTAGGGAACTTATAATTGCCTAAATTAAAAAAAAAAACATTTTTTTAGTAAATGACATATTATTATTCATATAGTTTTAGTTTGAATTACGTACAAGCGTTTTGACGCATTTAAATATTCTGAATCTGCATCATTAGTCAAAGCAAAATGGTCCGAGTGGTGTAAATGAAAATAATATAGTACTGAATTTTAAATCTAGTGCGATATTAAACTTCACCGGTTGCCGTTTTCGAAACTACCGCATTGTAACCGCTTAATTTAAATGCCGTTATCCTTTTACGAAACAAATGTGATTTTACGCTTCATGCACTGGATAGAATATATTATTAAATGTCTTGTGACTGAGTGCTTGTCGTATTTAATATTGCACATATATGTCATGCTTCGAGATAAAATAATGCTATGGAGTAAAACCTGAAACGGGAACCGTTCATTTTTCCGGAATAAAAAGTAACCTATTTGTTATTTTGATGTATGACCTATATTATTGTAAAGTTTTATTAAAATCCAATCAGTGGTTTTTGTCTACTAAGCTGTATAAGTTATTAAGTTTTTTACTATCCCACGGGAACTATTTACTTTTCCGGGATAAAAAATACTAAGATGTTGCCCGGGGATATAAGGTACCACCATGCACAATTTCATTCAAATCAGTCCAATAGATTCGGAGATTACAAACAAACAAACAGACAAACAGACAGAGAAACAAAAAAATTTAAAAAAATCTGGATTTGTTTTATTTGTCTTCTTACATCCCCCTGACTCGGTATTTAGCAGTTTTTTGCTATGTACAGACATTCGACCTCTACTGTTTTATTATAGTATAGATAGATATATAGAGTATATTATAGACTATGGCCTGATCCCCCTCCTAATGAAGAGAGGCTCGTGCCCAACAGTGGGACGTTAAAACGGACCTAATAAGTACTTTTATACTGCAAAATATTATTAACATTATCTACTGAAAATATTTGTTTCAGAAAAAAAACATTAAAATGAATATTTGTTTTATATATCTGATGTCACCTGTCAATTTTCAGTAAATAAACATCCTTTAGTTCTAGGAAAGCTTTAAATTAAAAATAAGCTTTGATCTTTCGTGTAAAATTTATATATTTTTTTTATAAAACACAATGTTACAAAATAAAATTTCAGTTTTATAAAATTAAAGCTTTTTTGAGATTGAGAAGTGTCTATTAATAAAAACTAAAGAGGAATAAAAAATCTCTTTATCAAGATCTACCAATCAAATGTAAAAAAATTTAAATGTACATGTAACAATATTATGGAATATTCATTATTAATAGAAGCTGACAGGTTTAGAGGTTCTAGACTTTATCAACCGATGAGGTTTATTTTTTTATTGAGAACAGAAGTAACAACCGTGTTATTCCTAGATGTAAGCTTTTTCTCGTACAATCTCATAAGATATTTATTTCTACCTTTACTGTGAATAAAAGGGATTAAGGAAAGGTTTTTCCAATTTAGTCAATATATCCCGTACCTAATACTATTTTCATGTATTTTTTAAAGTCTTCAGTCGAGAAACAGACTCCGTATGTTGAGAAATATATATAAAAATATTTCGAACTTGCTATAGTTAAAGTAATGAGTTATATTATCACATTAAGAGTATTTTCGTTTATAAAATTGTTTCATTGTTCTAGATACTTTGAATAATAAAATTCCAATTCTAATTTTTCATTAGAATGAAGTGTTAAAAACTTTAGAATTTCATGATTTAAAGTGGTTAAAAATTAAACACAAAACTATTCTTTTCTCTTTTGATTTCATGTCAAACACAAAATACAAGTGCTTTGTTTGCTTAAAATATTAAAAAACCTATTTTTCTTTGCGGAGAACACGTAGGTACGCGCTTGCAATAATAACAACGAATAATTACGTAAACTGGTCGACAGCTGGTACAGGAAAAAATGAATAAATTACCTTTATTCGATTTATGCTGTAGGAAAATTATAAAAAATTCGAAGAATTATTTAATAGCAGTAAGTGTATAAAAATAAGATATATATATATATATATATATATATATATATGTGTGTGTGTGTGTGTGTGTGTGTGTGTGTGTAAATTAAGTACTGATATATAAGGTTATTCTAGGCACACAAGTGTATCATTAATTCGCTATTTAATCATTATTATTTGCTCCTACATGGATAACCGATACATTCAAACACTGAGTAAATATACAACACAGTACACAGAGTAGGTACGCTAATCGTCATATATAAACAAGAATCTACTTAAAATTGTAGTACAACCTATATGTGCATACATACTCTATCATTATTAATTCGAAAGTATTTTATTATAAACTAGCGCTTACCCTTGGTTCGCGGGTGCATCTGTATTTAAGACTAGCGAGTAGCGACTCACCCTCGCTCCGCTCGGGTTCGTCCCTATATTGATTCCCCATACAAACTTTAATCGCCATTTTCACCCTCTTAAGGGATGATTTCCAGGACAAAAAGTATCCCATGTCCTTCCCAGGGTCTCAAACTATCTTCTTGCCAATTTTCATCTAAATGGGCTCAGTAGATCCAGAGATTACCCCCTACATCGTCACAAACTCACAAACTTTACCTCTTTATTATAATATTAGTATAGATTAACATATCAGATACTTCAGATCGGGCAGGAAATCTGACACACATAAACATACACACACATTAATTTATGATATATTATCATCTCATTACCATAACCAAACATGACGGAAGAAGAACTAGATACTTTTACCAAGTTATAACTAAACGGTCAGCTATATGATGTTTTGAAATGTATACTTTTAAAATGTAAATTTAAGATTAACTTCAAATTTTCCATTATAACACACCTACTAGATATGCATTTCAATGATTTTATGATTTTCTATAACTGTAATTCACGTATCCGTAACAGTATTTTATTCCGAATCATTTAATTTTACATGTTGGTTTAAGTTTATTTCCTAGTAACCTCGGGTTACAAGATAATGGTCCGACAATTTTTGGGAAATACTAATCTAACTAGCAATATTTTACAGATGCTTGAAAATAATTTCTACTTATATTTGTCTTTTGCCAAAATAGTTTTGATATATTTTAATTTCATTTTATAATTGGTTGGAAAATAAGTAGATGTTTATACATTACATATGTATGTATGTGTTACGAATCTCTTAAAAAGCAGTACTTTTTAGATTTAATAAAACACAGAAGTTAAAATCGTCTGAGTTAAATGTATTATTGTACAGTTATAATACGTTAATAGCAAAGATTAATTCAATGCGATTTTAAGCCTTTGCAAAGCGCGACACACGGAAACAACGAGCGCTGTTTATGATTCTTTAAGAGGCTTACATATTAACATAAGCTAAGCATATTTAAATATTTCTGTAAACGAAATAATTTGAACTTCATAAATAGCCAGCCCAAAGCTTAAGGAAGGATGCTTTAAATACCCCCCCAACGTGCGTTCACCTTGTCGCGGTGGGGGGGCTCAGTAGTGCCCGGCAACCCAACCGGGCGCGAAGCCAAGAAACGCACAGGGAGGTGGCCCACTTCGGTGGACGGTGGGAGGTGGCCCTCTTCGGAGGGCAGTGTACCATGCGGGTTGCTCCTGGTACTTCTCTGATAGCAGAGTGGACCTTGGAGCAACCCCGTGGTTGTTGTGGTCTGCTTCGGCAGACCTGCCGTCGGGGCGTCGTAGTTGAATGCGTAAGCGATCCTGCGACGCCCCATTAAGACGGGGGAAGGCTTTGTTGGGTTTTAGTGGGTAGTACTGGCTTTGCCGGTGAGTCCCACACCTCGTGCGTAAAGGCATTTCCCAACGTTAAAAAAAAACAAAAGGATGCTTTAAATAGCTCAATTATATTATTTTAGTAGGATAGTTATGATCTTGTTTCGCCATTGAAAGGATTTTTCAATGCAATCTAGATTACTAATACTAATCATATTAAAACTTTAACTATTCAGTGTTTGTAGTTACATTTAAAGTAGAATATAAATATATTTGCACCTGCCCCTTTTTTAATTATTTACCAAGTGCCCAAACTGCATGCCCTCGCAGTGAGTGGCTTTCGGTTCCCCTCCTCTCTTGAGATACATAAATTCAAAGAAAACACGGACCCTTGAAGATATTTTTAGCTATCTTGCAGCCCTTTTACCTTTTTCAATTCTATAAAAAGCTATACTGCATGGACCGAGAATATTTTACCAAATGATTTTATTTTAGCTTTGCTTTTCCAAGGTTTTTAAGTATTTATGGCTAGTAGTATCTACATAAGAATTCACGGGTTCGATTCCGCACAAATTGTTTCAAGAATGATTGCAATGACCTTTTCAACGTGTGATATGTGTCAGTCAAGTCCGAATCCGCGAAAAAGAAGAATCCGCGTAAGCCGAGAGAGAACAAACAATACGCTTACACTATATCGTCGTGAAAATGTACTAAAAAAATAATTTTAATAAATAAAGAATATTTCGATATAATATTTAATAATAACTATGCAATTGTATTTTTCATATAGCTCTGTGTATTTAAATCTGAGGTTAGTTAACACCTCCAGGTATATTTCTAAGAAATTAATTATATTTCTAGGAAATCTATTGTTAACTGTAACGCCGGCGTGTTAAATGAATAATATTAGATATGTATAATTAACACCGAAACAGCGAATATTGTGTATAAATTACAATAGGTTTTTTAAATCTAATATTCATAGCTCCAATAGTATTTTCATGTGTTCTAAGTCGTTAAATTTGTAATAAGTAACTCAGCCATATGACTACTGTGTTGGTATTAAGTTAACATCAAAGAACAGTGCAAACTTTTGTAACCAAGCTCCTTTGATCTTACTTTAATGGATTAGATATATTTTTAACGTTTTCTCTTTATTAGTTATACTATTTATATTTCTCTATACAAAATTAATTAATTAATAAAAAAAATATTATTCCCCTAGAACTTATTCTTGACTTTGTATTATATTATATTCAATAATAAAACTATGATAATATCATTCAAAACTTATACTTGTTTTTTGCCGCGGTTCCACTTGCGTAGGTAGTAGGTATGTACGTCAATGAAAATTCGATATTTTAACCCA